TTTGAAAAATTTGAGGAAAGAAAAATAATAATATTTCTTCACTTACCTGATTTCGAAACTTATCACTTCCTCTATGACATCCCGTTCAGAGGATCCTGAAATAAGTGATAATTTTAGATAATTTATTATCACTTTTTCAAACGAAATCATTGTATATTTGCTCTTATCATGTCCTGAAACAGAAATGTAGACTTCCTCCAACATCAGTTCTCATTAGAATTGTCAATGGTGATATGTAATAAATATTTCGCAATTCGAATACCTACGTATTTTGGTATGTATGTATATTATTTCAAAATTTTAGCGAGATTTCATAATTCACAAGATAATTTCAAATAGATATCTACTTTTCTTATTGCCGAGTATAAAAAAACTGCTTACACTTCAAACAGTATAATGGGCATTGTCCATCAAATTACGAATTTAACTGAGACTGCTTTGCTTTATTCTTTTGACACTAATGTTTGAGAGCAGTTTGGGAATAATTAAACTGAATCACTTTTCAGTCTCCTTCTCCTCTCAAATACTTCATCTTGAACCACTGTTCTCTTCAAATCAAATAAGTATTTACGAGATCCGAATACTTCTCTTTTTCCTGAAATGATGTTTATGAAATTTTTGTAGTATCAGTGATTTGTGTCCTTTGAGACGCTGGTGACTTACAAAAACTAGTTTTTCAAATAAAATAGCCTGTAAATTGAATATTATTTTTTCATTACAAGCTATTTTTAACTATCAATGTTTGTATGTTGTCCTGGAGCTGGATTCTTGTGTTAGTAGTTTTTTGGGAAAGGTATTTTTGACTTCTACTTCTCCATCCTGATACAAAAAAATTAGTGATCAAATTTACAAGTGAAAATTCGTGTTGAATAGACATGAAACTGCTAAAAATATGAACGATAGCATAATGGATCTAGAATGACTTGTAAGGGCATTCAGTTTTTCGTTAATAACCCGAAATAATATATACTTACATTTTATCTACAATAAAAAAGTCGCAACACCCTGAACTCTACTTCCATCTGCTGGTATAGCGAAGTTAACTCCCTAAGGACTCTTAGGATGGATGATTCAGTAATATAAATGAACGTGGGCAGAGGGTACAAATAAGATAATCAGTATCCGCTGAACGAGAGATTATGTGCGGAGTGCCACGAGGTAGTTTACTTGGGCCAACTCTACATCCTATTTTCAAATCTGATATNTCATTATCAACATTATTCAATGCGGTAACTTCATTTTATTAATAATTTAATTGTTTTTTATGTTGAAAATGTGTTTGAGAGAAATTTTAACTTTCATTTAATTTTTTCCGAAAGTAATTAATTACAATTTTCAATGTTAGACGAGAGCGGCCTGATTTGTTATCTACGAAATAAATTTATTGAAGGGAAAGAAAGTTTTTGACTACTCCATCTACTACTGCATCTTGATACAGAAAAAGGAGTCTTCCAAAGAAGACTCCGTGCAATCATTCTTTTTAATGAGTTAAAGTTTGTATAGTTATTGTTGATCCACCGTTACATCAATTTGTTCATAAAAATTGAAGATTTTTTGACATTTTCTTATTTTTTGTAACAAATACGACAATGAATCTTGAAGGCAACTTTGTACAGAAATAATATATTTGCCAAATTATCTTTGAATCATATCCATATCCCTCATATTGTTTAAATTATTTATGTGTTTCAATCAACATTTATCCAACTCGTGTTCCGTTTTATATGATAATTGACTTTCAAATTGCATCACTCAGTCATAAATTCACTTGCTATCATTCAACCCGTGTTAGTAATCACACGTTGAAATGTAAGAACTCGTAAGTCCTTAGCCTGCGCAAGTTTCGACTTCTGAGGGTTGTCGTTCGCAGGGGTGCAATAGATGGTTAACGGAAAAACGTATTTTAAACATATTTTTTGAACTTTCTATAATATTATAAAGAGCTATAAGTGTATATCTGAAAGTGCCCCTATGGTGTATTTAAATGAGAGCTGCAACCATGCCCTGTTTATTCATAGGGTCAACCTAGGTTATCGCTTAGCGCACAACTGTGCAAAAAATGTGATGACATCTCATTGTCGATAACCATCTTGATTTTGGTCAGGTTGAAGCCTAGCTCCCTTACTCTTCCAACTGGCTTTGTCAGAGGGACAAATGGGTCATAATTGATAGTGGGATGGCGGCATGAATGTTCTCAGACATCAGTGCCGCCCTTCACGGTGTACCCCTACCTGGCTGGGGTGAGATGGATGAAAAAATTGTTCATCAGTTACGGGGACATGAGGGCATGTAGCTTCCCTAACTAACGGATTATCGTGAGTTCATGCGCAATCAAAAACTCGCTGATTCCTCGACTGAATGGACTGCTGAATGGACTGCTGAATGGAAGGCAGCTGCAAATCTCTGCAGATGGCTTCATTCCGCACGAACCACGGAGCATTCACAATAATCTGTATTATTTTGTTTTGCAATTTCTCCAGAACGGAGATATTAGACGGAGCCGCTTGTCCCCAGACGCCTGAAGCATACATGATGACAGGCTTGAACATCCTGTTGTAGATGGTATCTAATTTTGTTTTTTAGGCTCATTTTAGATATTCTGTAGATCAGAGGGTACAAACTAGCTATCCGGCCGTCGATCCTTGTTTTAAAGCTGGGGCCGCACTGCAGGAAGGTTGGTAGGATGGTGGATGGTAGATAGATGCCTGGCGAGCATCCTGCTATTTATAAACGTGAGTAACAGAACAACGGTAGCCGCAGTGGCCCCCCACTACCATCTAACCTCCAGAAACCATCCGAAGGTACGCCTGGTACATTACCCGCTCTTGCCAGTTGATCTCCCTTCCGGAGACCCTCACTTTCCTAGCCGGAGAAGATATCGTTCTTCCCTAAGTTTTTTCTGGGTTCACTTGAATCTGGGATCTTGCACTCGAGGTACCAGCGTACGAGGTCGTCCAATGCACGTTGCATGTAGACGATCCCGAGCTCCCGACCCATGGAAGACGAGAGGAGAGCCGTGTCATCGGCGTAGAGAGACACCTTCACACGCGCGGACATCGGTATGTCACTGATGTAGAGCGAGTCACAGAATAGTTCTGTGAGAGCGAGTATAACGTGGGAGAGAGCACAGCTTCCTTTGGCGCCCCAGCGAGGATCTCTCTGTTGTCAGACAGGGAGCCCTCTAGATACTCTAACCTGAAATGTTCTGTTTTTCAAGAAAGAACCGATCCACCGGATCAGTCCCCGAGGCAGGTCGAACGATGACACCTCAGTGTAATTTTCAACACTTTTTATATTGCATTAGTTATTTTCTCTACTTACTTTCACTCATCTTGTGTGAGAACTATCCATCGTTCTTCAAATCTGTTTAAAAATCTGTTTTTCCGTTAATCAGCTGCCGCCCCCATACGAACGACAACTCTCAGAAGTTGAGAAACTTGTGCGAGCTAAGGACTAACGAGGTCTTACCTTTTAACGTGTGATTCCTAACACGTATTATTTTAATCAGGGAAATAGTTATAGAAGAGCAGACGTGGCTCAATATGCGAATATTGACACGTGAACTGAATCTTTCCGAGTTCTTCTACTTGCTAGACTTGATTATGCTATCCTTCAATACTTCTTTTTTACGGAAGAGGTTATGGCGTTCGGGCCCTGTCACCGAAGCCCCAATACATTCAGATTGGGCGCCAGCCTTACAAATCAATAACCACTCCCCACACCGTGAGGTAAGCGATCATTGAGTCGAAGAATGGTTCGCCCTGAGCAAGGATGAAAGCCTTCTGCATTTTTCTGACCAAAATTTCAAGCATAATTATTATTGAAGTATCTGAAACTAACGAATTGAAATCAAACCTTTCATGTTATTTTTTTAATGAAAATCTATAATTTGTCGATCAAATTACGGTTCTTTTTTGTTTCAGTTAAACGGGAGAATGATCAAGACATTCCCACTTCTATTTATAATCTTCCACCCTCTTTCGGAGGCCGTAATTACGTATACTATTTCCAGTAGTCAACAAACTAATGAGTATGGACAAAAAGATTGCATGGGGGTAACAAGAAATGGAATCAGAATTCACGACTTACGCTTCGACGACGACCAAACAAGAATGCTGAGCTATCCAACTTTATGTTGCGCTGATTATTATTTACGATTTTCTCGTTCGTCAGTACCAATATTGGCAACATCTTCATTTGGTACTAGACCTAATTATGTAGTGGACATTATGATGAACAATACGAACATTTCCAAAATATTGCCTGGCACATTCGCCGGACTAAACTATTTGAATTGTTTGGATCTGTCTCAAAATAACATTAGTTTCATACAATATGGAATATTCAACGGGCTACAGCGTTTATACATGTTGAACTTGGCAAATAATAACATAAAACAAATTTTTGATAATGCTTTCGACAAAGTTCCCCTCAAAACATTATTTCTACAAGATAATATGTTATCGTTTCTGGATGATAATTTATTTTCGTCTCAAAAAACTTCACTCAAAACAATAAATCTAGCGAAAAATATATTGAAGGAGATCAATAATACTTTCATTGGGATGAATGCCTTGATTACATTGAATTTGAACGAAAATTACATCACTGATATAAACCTTGGTAACATATACTGTAGTGAAATATATCTTAGGAAAAATAAAATATCACACATAGGGGCAGTACGGAAATCAATCAGAATTATGGATCTTAGTGAAAACAATATAAGAATGGTTGAAAAATTGGGCAATTCTTTAATCAATTCATCAATTGTGAAACTTAATCTAAGTCAAAACAGTATTCAGCTAAATCAAAACACATTTCTTGGTTTACACAACTTAACTCATCTCCATCTCGACAACAATAAAATTGGTAATATTTCCAACACAGTTTTTCGAGATCTCAAGTCTTTAATTTTTTTAGATTTATCACATAATAATATTTCTAACTTTCAGTATGGCACTTTCGATCATGTCATCAATATGCAGTATTTGAATATATCTTACAACGAATTCAAAAATCTTCAAATGCATATTATCAGTCCATTGCAGAAATTATCAGAGTTGGATTTTCGAAAAAATCGAATTGAGAAACTTGATATAGAATCATTTTATTACCACTGTTCTAGTGTGCGGAAGATTGATCTGAACGAAAATTTTTGGAAGTGTAAGGAATTAACAAATATTGTTAAATTCTGCCAGAAGAAGAGCATAGAAGTAGTGAGAGGTAATTCCTTCGACTTGGAGAACGTAAGAGGAATATCTTGTGTAAATGATGATTTTGTGATAAATAGCACTGTCTCTGAAAATGCTATATCTGAAGTTGTTCAAACTGAAAAAATGCCTTTCGATGACAAATTTATGAAAAATAGTTCATTTTTCAGATTTTTTGGTGAAGATTTCCAAAAAAGTAATTTTTACGAGTACCTTGAGAATCTAGTCAGTCGAAAACAAATAGATCCAATCGATTTGAACAGCACTTCTTTCTATAAATTCTTCAACAGGGACTATAAAAATAGCAATCTTTTCAAATATTTGGAAAATTTGAAATTTATTGATAATACTAAGGTAACTGAAACTCCCGTTGAATATTTCCATTATCTCTTCATATTTGGCGTAACATTAGTAGTTATATTAGTGTTGATATTCATCACAGTGTTTGCAACATCTTTATCAATATTCAAAAAACAATCATCCAAATCTACTAGAACTGTATCCAACCAAGATAATGTTGAGCTTCTGTAAACTTCATATATATAAAATATACACAAAAGTATCGAATTTTGTTTAATATATCTCAGTAATATACGAGTATGGATATGTGAAATCTCATTACTTGACCTCCTCCAAAAATTGAAACCAAACAAATCCTTAACTTATGTTTCCTCTTAATCTCTACATTAAATAAATATTGATGAGTTGTAGCGTAGATATAAATAGGATGTAAATTTGCTAAACTTAGAATGACATCATTTTGAAGTAATTCCAAATAATTATCGCCATTCAAGTTACCCTCAATGAAAAAGGACCACTGATATGGTTTCCTACAATCCTTGCCAAAAAATTAACCTTTTGAGAGTATCGCGTGTATTCTTCTCTCACCCAGTGAGGATTTTCCGTTGATCAGTAGCGGCCATTTTGCCGATTAGCATGACTGTTAAGAGACAAAGTACACTTTGACATAACGTCTTCTAATTTGTCAGACTTGAAGTTAACGAACTTTAAACTTAAATTGAAATACTGACTACTAATGTTGTAACTTACGAAACAAGTTGACAAGGCGTTTTAAATTAACGTTGCCATGGAAATTATTTACAGTTTTTCAAAGGATACCATATAAAAAGAACATTGATATGGTATTTGCTTACTTTCTCATTATCAATACCTCAACACGAAATAAGTTTTGATTATATTGCAATAAGTTTTGAGTGTATTTTATCGAGTTTCGGTAACCACATGATTTTAATTTATTTTATCATAATTGTTGCAATAAACTTGAAAGCGATAACATTTTTGAATAGAGAATGAAGAAGCCTTTTAAGCGATATATCACAAGACTATACTTCCCTTTTAAAAAATTGGGAGTTGAAGGCAGAGATAGCATTTTTCCGTTGAAGTGTGCCAAATTATTATTTAAATTTGACGTGCTTCGGGATCTTGTTAAAATATGTACCGTAACCGTAACTTTCACACACTGTATATAGCAAGGGACTTTCATCTCGAAATCCGTCTGCAGATGATTCAGTGACCACCGATAAAAATTGATAGATTAACTTATAGGGGAAATATGCAAAAATTCAAACGTCCGGTTGGAAGTGTTCGTAAATGATGATAATTCAAGATACATTGTGGACTATTTAAAGTTTATCAAATCCAGACTACAACATGGAAATTTTGTTTTGTATCAGTTTCAGTTGGAATTACTAGTGACGAAATAAAGTACCTACTTCTGCAATCGCGGATACATTATACAGTAAATAAGGTACGATTACTAATTTTTTATGGATTCAACTTTTATAACTATGAATTTTTGCGGGGTAAGCAAAGATTTACCAATACAATATTTCTAGAATCTCCTATCGATTGTCAAATATTTAACATCATTATTTTTTTACTTATTTTTTTTTCATTCAACTCAATGATAGTAAATACCACTTCCTTGTTTTTCCGCTCTTCTCCTGCAAATATTCATCATAAATTGTCAACGTATTGACGAGTCTCATATTCAGGAAACCATACGAGTAGCACAGTCAATATAGGTTTTACTTGTCGTTTATTACATGGCAACATGAGAATTTGAGTTCATCCGAATCAAACAGTAAAAATATTTATGGAAATTTCGGATTTTTTTTCGTATTTTTGTAAAATCTATATAGGATTTAAAAACTATTTTAGTTATTGAAATGAGACACATTTCTCTACAAAAACGGTTTATAACATTTACTGTATGCTCGAACGGAATTGACTCATCTATCGAAAACACTTTTCACACACCAGAACAAAAGTAGTTATGTAATTATTGATTAATTTAACGCCAAAGGTTCCAAATTCTACCTATCAAGCTGTTGAAAATGGTAATAAGCTGAAACATAAATATGAATATCAAGAATATTAATGAAGTTCTATCCCAAGACTAAACCGTTATTTTTAACACCTCGTAACGTGTTTCAATCAACAAGTGATCATCTTCAAGAGTGAGTTTGATCTTCCGTCAAATAAATGAAATGTCCAGATGTCATATGCGAAAGTCTACTCGAATACATAGTTTAGATGTTTTAAAGAATTCAGTCAAGGTTCATATTTCCGTTTTCAACCTTTCTTCTTAATAATGGCAACCAGGTACGGATTCTTTGAGTATTCTAATTTTTTCATAAGTTTCTTTGGTGATAATTTTTGTTTCACTACATGTGGAATTGGCCGCGGTGGTAGTGCGTCCGACTCACGATCGGAAGGTCGTGTGTTCGATTCCCGCTTCGACCAGATATTTTTCTCGGGAGAATTTATCTGGTTGAAGCTGGAATGATTCTGCAACCGTGTTAGGAATCACACGTTAAAAGGTAAGACCTCGTTAGTCCTTAGCTCGCACAAGTTTCTTAAAAAACTGAAACAATAAACTGAGAACTAAGTTAAGACGTTTTGTGTGTGATGTCTTCACCTGTAACTAGCTTTCTTGATGCAGTTTCTATCAATCTATAATAATTTTAATTTCATCAAGAAATAATTTCTCTTAGAAACACCTTAAAAAATCGCCTCAAAATACATAATTAATCCAAGTTTAATTTTTGCAGTAGGAGCTGAATAAAATATTTGTAGGAATTGGAAAAATCATACATTAAATGACTGCAGAGATCAGAACCAATTTAGAGTGTAGATGAAGAAAGATGTGTTTTTAGTTTCAACTGAATAAATTACATCAGTTGTTTGTCTGAGGGCAGAATGGGTAAGGAAGTAATAGTAGAGTTTCACATGTTTCTTTTATCATGTGGTAACATGCAGGAAATACTTCAGTGAAGATTCCTGCACTGACACCTGTCAGATATAATCCAACGCCCTTCGTGGTACTAGCCAGGGGAGTAGTTGTTTTTGGATAGATGTAATTCCATTACTTTACACTGTAGGTGAATCGAGACTGGCCTGAACGAATTGTTCTTTTAGTTAATTTGATTTACAACCAGTCAGTTTCTTTTATCATGTGGTAATATTGCTATATTCTAAACCGTAACAGATACGAAGACGATTAAATGGGAAAAAAGGCAACTGTCATCGAAAATAATACAATGGTCGAAGAAAATTTACGAGTTATACGAGGAAAACCAAAAATGTTGTTTTTGTTTGTTTCGAATGGAATTGTTATTTCGGAGAATATCAAAAAATGGAAAAGGAAAATGTTATTGTATTCAAAGTGTACTATGACGATGTAATAATAAATATTCGATAAAACGTTTCGTGTCAACATAGCCACCATCAACTTTTTTTTTAATACGAACCTGTCTTTTTTATTACAGATATTGATAAATTAATAAATTAACAATCCGAAAGTGTATCACATTTGATATCTTTATAGCGTTTCATTTAAAATAACTTTCATCATCAGTGACAACAATTTAAAATTACTAGACGTAAAAATAGGAAAATTGGAAATATTTGTAAAAAAATAATATGGACGGACGAATCAAAATTCACCAACAATGGTTAGTTTAACAGACATATCCATTATAGGTGGAATAATATAAATGAACATTTACATAGGGAAACCAATTTCCAAGAAAGGTTCATAATAAACGTTTGGTTGGGAATTATGGAAACAAACATCCTTGGCCCTTTCTTTTACGATGATCATTTGAATAGTGAAATGTATCTTCATTTTCTATTCAATGAATTCGATGGCTACTTAGATGAATTACCACTGAATATCCGCCATGAAATGCAATATTTTCAACAGGACGGCGCTCCTCCCCATAATGCAGAAATAGTAAGGAAACATTTAGATGCAACATTCTCAAGAAAATGGATTGAAAACAATGGACCAATAACTGGCCAGCCGATTTCCAGATTTCACTCCTTTAGATTTTTTGTCTGGGGATACATAAAGGATAAAGTTTTTTCAACACCAAGTACAGATATCGACCGTCTCAAACAAAAAATAAGAGATGCATGTATTAGTATTACACCTATTATGCTAGAAAATTGCTACATAAATTGTCTGGACCGACAACTTATGTGCATTCAACAAAGAGGTCGTCATTTCGAGCAGTTAATGTAGATTGACATGTAACTTTTATTTTCCGTATAGGTTTCATTTTTCCCAAAATTTCATGATGAAATAAATTGTTTTTCTGTTTGATTGTTGTCACTGACGATGGTTATTTCAAATGAAACGCTATAAAAATATCAAATGTGATTTACCTTTGGATTACGAATTTATTGCGTTATCAATATCTGTAATAAAAAAGAAAGGTCCGTATTTAAAAAAAAAGTTGATGGTGGCCATGTTGACACGAAACGTTTTATCGAATATTTATCATTGAATCGTCATAGTACACTTCGAAAACAATCACATTTTCTTTTTCCATTTATTGATATTCTCCGAAATGACAATTCCATTTATGGTTTTCCCCGTATAACTCGAGAAGGGCGAGACTCCCCGCAAATTTTCTTTGATCATTGTATTGCTCCCGATGACAGATACCTTTTTTCCCATTTAATCGTCATCGTATCTGTTACGGTTTAGAATGTAGCGATATTACCACACAAGGCCGTAGCCAGAAACAACTTGATTTGGTGAAACAGTAGAAAAACATATTGTGTTACATGATCATATATTTATTAGAAAACCATTACATAAATATTAACATCTTTTTACAAAATCAAATTCAGTTTTTTAACTTGTAGAGTTTCTTGAATAAGTTTTAAGGCGTTTTAGATCGCCAAGATCTTTGAAAGTGTGTACGCACATTGCCGTAAGGGTTTTCTATTGTGTTTCGGGGAAGTTTTTTTCAATATTCTCTTTCAAGCACTTGGTTCGTTTTGCCAAGGACTTGATAAAATTTCTAACGGATTTCATGATTCCAATAGTATCCGTATGTGTAGGGTAGGGAGGGTGAGTGTAGGCCCACAGCACTTAGGCCACATGTGACCCATTGTACATCCTCCCAAGGAGATGTCCTCCTAAGTCATCATCGACCCTGTCCTTTCCAGAAAGGTGGACAGGTCACTAGTAGACATCTCCTTTATATCGGCAGGTGTAGGCCAATACTCGCCGAACACACACTCTCTTATTGACGATAACTCCGGACACCCGCATAGGACATGCCTTACAGTTTCATCTTCCTGTTCACACATCCTGCATAGAGATGTGTCCACTAGCCCCATATTATGGAGGTGTTTTCTTAATTGATAGTGGCCAGTCAGAAATCCTACTGTTGAGCGTAGATTTTTCCTGGTCATCGCTAGATAATTCTTCGGCGCCAACTTCCCAGGGACGCCCAGGGTGATCCTAGCAAGAGTGCATCTTTTGATTTCATCCCATCTCTTTGGGGATTGAGCATGGGTGTAACGTTTGGCTAGTTCCGCAATTGTCGAAATCATCAGGCCGTAGGTGCCGCTGAGTCCTGAAATTTTTAAGCCAGCCGCTTCCTGGGCTGAAGAGTCGCCAATGCGATTACCTTCACTCCTGTCGTGTCCTCAGGAAAGTCCACCTCAGGAAAATGTTATTATCTACCGAGGCTTTGGCTAAATCTTGGTGGCACTCTAGTACTAGCCCTGAGGTAACACGTTGCCTATTCAAGGCTAATAGGGCTTGTCTGCTATTTTTTGCCAGAAATTCCTTTCCTGGTTATTTCTTTTGTGGCAATTGAGATACCAGCCAGTTCTGTTTGAATGGTATTTCCCATTCTCCACTCAATCCTTAGGCTTAGTGATCTGGAGTACACTCTACATCCTGAGCCTCCTTTGGTTTTTGAGATGTCTGTATATATGCGTATTGTATTTGTAGGGTATATTAAACACAAACCTGGGCTCAATTGCATCACTGGTTGCCTGCAGCAGAGGTTGCGCAGTGTGCGCTTCTCGCCATAGGCTCAGCCTCAATTGACTCATTTCTACTTCGAGGTTTACACCAGCCGTGTGCTATCGTAACATGGCCATTAACACAACCTTCTTAACGTACAGGTCCTGATGGGACAGACAAGTAATTAATTCCATTGCCGCGGTTGGCACCAACCAAGCCAATCGTTGTATTTGATGTAATTTTTGGATGGCCGTTGCTTGTAGAACTTTCGAGGGGGATCAATCCCCCTTGATCCCCCCCTGACTACGGCCTTGTTACCACATGATAAAAGAAACTGCCTGTCTTCAGTGGACATACTTGAAGACTGGCTGTAAATCACATTAACTAAAAGAACAATTCGTTCAGGCCACTCTGGATTCACCTACACTGTAAGTTAATGGACTGAAACCTATCAGAAAACAACTAGTCCCATGGCTAATACCACGAAGGGCGTTGGTGTCAGTGCAGGGATCTTCACTGAAGTATTTCCTGTAAACGCAAGAAATATTAGCCAGGGGAGTAGTTGTTTTCAGTTTTCAGGTGCCAGTTCATTAACCTACAATATAGGTAAGTCGAGACTGGCCTTAACGAATTAATTTGTAATAGTTCAGAGTGATGATACAAAAATAAATTACCCATATATTCTATGTAATTTACAATGTCACAATTTTTGAACATACGTTCCAATTTACAATACAGAAACAAGCACTTGATAAATATCAAGATGATAATTTAATATTTATATAGGTACGTGCAGTATAAGGTAACCCTAAAACCAAGCAAATTGTTGACTGTTTAGTATCCGAATTTGGTTATTTCAAGTGGCAACTTCTTGGCGAGAAAAATTATGTGTGGATAGAGTTAATCCTTATTTTAGCCTGTCGCTAAAAGAAAATATAAATATTCAATTTTTTGTTTCAGCAGCCGCAAAATGAACAAGTTACCACTGTTTTTGAGTACTCTACTATCATTAACAGTTGCTCAAGATAATTATATGATATCTGTTGACCAACAAACACACGAGTGTAATGAAGGTTGTAGAGACAATATTAAAAATGGACTGAGTATTCATGATGTATTCTTGGGAGATGACCAACCAAGAAAGTTGAGCATTCCCACTTTCTGTTGTTCAGATTATTACATACGATTTTCCAATTCATCACTTCCGACATTAGCAATAAGTTCTTTCGGAAGTCGTAATGGTTATATTAGTGGTATAACAATGAAGAAAAGCAATATTTCAGAAATAGTGCCGGGTACCTTCAAAGTATTGAGGTATTTAAATTGTTTAGATCTCTCTCACAATAACTTCAGTGCTATAAAAAATGGAATATTCAATGGAGTGGAACATTTGTACGACTTGAATTTAGCGAATAATAATATAAAATATATTTTTGAAAATGCTTTTGATAATACTCCTCTAAGAAATCTCTTTCTACAAAATAATGTGATATCGTTTTTGGAGAACAAATTATTTTGGTGGCAAACATTTACATTAGATTTCATAGATTTGAGGAACAATTCACTTAAAGATATCAACAATACTTTTATCGCTTTAAATTTGTTGTCTACTTTATATTTGGACAAGAACAACCTTGAAGTTGTTGATATTGTTGCCGTACCTTCAACTGAAATACACCTCAGAAATAATAACATTTCACGGATCAAATCTTTGGCAGAGAAGACGAAAGTCATAGATTTGGGTGAAAATAATATATCCCTTTTCGAAAATTTCGGAAGCGCCTTCATCAATTCATCAATTCTAAAATTATACTTGAGTTATAATCAAATTCAGCTGAGTGAAAAGTCATTTTCTAGCATTCCCAACTTGACACACCTCCATTTAGATAATAATAAACTAAGTAAAATCCCGAATAATGTGTTCAAAGATCTGAAATCTTTGATTCTTTTAGATATTTCACATAACAATATTTTACAACTTCAGTATGGCACCTTTGAGCTCATTCCTAATATTGAAGTTTTAAATATTTCCCACAACAAATTCACAGAGGTCCCAATTCAGGTTTTCAGTCCTTTACCAAAATTAAAAGAATTAGATTTTAGGCAAAACCAAGTTGACACACTTGACGTCAAGGTTTTTCTTTGGTACTGCCCCAACCTTCAAAAGATCAACTTGAATGGAAATCTTTGGGAGTGTGAAATTTTATCAAATATCGTGAAATACTGCCAGGATAAGAATATAGAAATAGTGATAGGAAATTTGACTGAGTTTGATAATGTTAGAGGAAATGCATGCTATAATGAAGACTTTGATGCGGACAGCAATTCGACTCTGACTAATCAAACCGTAATTAGTTTGGGCTCCTTAAATGATAGTTCATTATTTAAATTCTTCAATGAATATTTGAATTCCGTGAATACTTCATCTTATGACTTTTCCAATAAAGATTTTCAATATAGGAATACACATATTCCTTTTATAGTTAGTGTTATTTTGCCGTGTTAGAAATCACACGTTAAAATGTAAGACCTCGTTAATCCTTAGCTCGCACAAGTTTCGACCTCTGAGGGTTGTCGTTCATAGGGATGCTACAGCTGGTTAACGGAAAAACAGATTTTAAACAGACAGATAGACAGATCTAGTCAATAGCTGTATTCTTGAAAAATTTTTTCCCAACGCAATGGAAAATTGCGTGTCCCCAAAAACAGCTGATATTTTAGACTACAAAGATCTCAGACCCATAAGTATTCTACCCACCATGTCTAAGTTATTGGAAAGCATTTTGAACAAATAAATCAGGGAATATATAAGTAACTTTAATGCCTCTTTTTCAGTCGGGTTTTAGGCCTCTACATAGCTGTACAATAGCTTTGCTTAAAATAACGGATGACATATTGGCAGCAACAGATACAGGAGACATCTCGTTATTGATCTTACTGGACTACAGTGAAGCGTTCGACTCATTGAATCCAGAAATACTTATATCTGTGTGCTCAATTATATTGGCTTCTCTAAAACAGCCGTTAAGATGATGCAAGAATACTTCACAAATAGACATCAAATGGTGAAACTCAAAGGCGAACTAGCTGAATCGGTGAAATTACTGCGCGGTGTTCCGCAACGATCTATATTTGGGCCTTTGCTCTTCAGTTTATATACCTCAAATATACTGACTAAGATCAATCTCTGTAAGTATCATGCTAACGCTGATGATGCTAAACTTTATGTATCGTTTAAATCAGAATTGCTGAATGAAGCTGTTGCTGACATCAATACTGAACTTCAAAACATTTATGATTCTTCTGTGAAACACGAACCGAAACAGAATCCTAATAAAACGCAGGTTCTTATGTTTGGTCCCAAGTTATTATGCCAAAAGTATTTACTTCAAGTAAATATTTCTCTGAATGGTTTAACTCTAAATATAGTACCAACAAATCTTGGATTGATGTTGGATAATAATTTCAGGTTCAAAAAGCAAGTTTCATTATATATCCAGAAAGCTTACGCGAACTTAAGATTAATTTACCCTCACCGAGCATACCTAAATACTCAGACAAAAACCAATTTATGCCAGACTCTCATCCTTTTACAGTTCACCTACTGTTCACCTGTATATTTTCCCTGTTTAGATAGTCTTAATAGTCTAGATTTGTGCAGGATACAAAAAGTCCAAATTTTCTGTTTACACTACATCTATGTCGTTCGTAATTTCCAGCATATTTCTCATAAGCTTTCTCAGTCGCAATGGCTGTCAATGAAGAATCGTTTCTTATTGCAATCTCTAACCTTATTTCAACAAATCACCGCAGTATCTTCATGATAAAGTTCGATTTCGTGAAAATGAACATGAAGTGAATATCCGACACAAAAATACAATAATTGTCCCCCACCACAGCACTGTTTGAGAGATCGTTCAGTTTTTCTATCTACACTCATTACAATAGTCTACCCACACACCTGAAAAAATTGAAACTGCCACGAGCTTCAGGCTCGTAACTTGGCTATATGAAAAACAGCTATCGTGCAACTGAAATCTTGCATGAAGTGCAAAAATTCAAATCATTCTGTAAGCATAATGAATTACCCCTCTTTTATTCCTTTCAATTTTTCTCTCTCTCTCTCTCTCTCTTACTACATAGGCACTAATACTTTTAAGTTTTGTATATTGTAAAGGAGTTGAATGGAAGAGCAGAATTCTGCGTGTTGCACAAGCTTGTCTCCTGAATTCTGCTCCGAGATTTTACCAAACCCATTGTTTTTTCCTTTGTGTACTTTCTTTTTTATCTTGGTAAATAAAAGACATTATTATTATTATCATTATTATATTGAGAGTCATCAAATTAGGGTTTTTAGACAAAACACAAGCACTAGGGGAAAATCCTCAAGGCGCTCTAAGAGCCGTGCCTGTGTGAAAGTAGCGATTCACATTAGATATGAATCGCTGGAGATAAAATAAATTTGGAAAAAAGTTCTCAGGAAGTTTATTCCACATGAACGCAGTTCTCCAAATTAAAGAGTTCTCAAACAGTGGAGTTCGAGGTATTCTGAGTTGAACCTCAAAACGATGAGCAGCCACAGTCCGTCGCATATTTCTGATATGTACCGCTCTTGGTGTAATCAAATGTGCCACGTCACTTGAACACTTCCCGTAAAAGTATCTAAAGAAGAGACACAAATCTCCAACCTTTCTTCGAACAATACTCCAAAAGTCTGATCTGAGCTTTATAAAGCATAACAAGTTGTTGAGGTGTTTACAGTTTTCTGGTTCTGTTCCAAGCTTTCGAGAAACAGCATTCGCAATTCCAGCGACATGATTGTGCCAAGACATATTGGTGTCCATTTTAACCCCCAACAAACTTATCGAAGCAGAAAGCGGAATTGTCTGTCCTGACATAATTATATCCGGTTCAGAGACATTTCTATTTTTGGAGAAAACCAATGCCTGGGTTTTTGTGGCTTTGAATTGAACCTGGTTAGTTTCACTCCGATTCGAAATCACTTCCAGATCCCCATTAAGATATGCAACCCCTGCTGCCGGTGAAGATGTGGATCCGCAGCCGATGTCCTGGAATCCAATTGGAATGATAAGACCAGTGTGCTGTGGTCAGCAAAGCAATATATTGGATTCTTGGTTTTTTTCAATAAGTCATTGATATACAATAAAAAGAGGGTTGGAGATAATATGGATCCCTGGGGAACACCAGCATTAATGGTAATAGTATTCGAGAGATATCCATCGATGACCACTTGCAGGAAACGATCTTTCAGGAAACTGGAGAGCCATACACAAAAAGGTAATCAAATGTGTGTCATTGTTGAGTAAACAACGGAATGTTATGAGAAGTTATCAACAATTTCAATCATTTCTCATTTATTCTGTAGCCGTTTCCTGAAGCATTTTGAGCGACAGGAGACTTGTCTACGCAACCAAATATATGAAACACGGCGAGAGCTCTTTACAGCAAGTTATTATAGCCCATTCAGTTTGACCAACATACTTTCTTTCGAAATCCTCATATAGCTTATGCCGCAAATCTCATACTTTTTCTCTTCCGCCTCCTTATCGTCATATAATGTTAGAAATTCTCTATGGATATCAGAATGATTGATGTTACCAGAAGCCGAAGGCTTAATCTTATTCCGTGATTTTCAAGCAGGAAAAGATTTTGCTGGTTACATACCGAATGCGAATTGATTTGAAGTAAATAAAGGCGTTGTTATTATTATTAATTTTATTCGTTATCTCCGGTTAATGAAGTTTATATTATTACGAAACACTTTCTTTAGCATATTTTTACAGGTCCTTAAGTTTATTCGACAAGTTGCTAAAAGTTGCGTAAAAATATTTCTGTTGTTCAAAATGTTTCTTGGTGATTTTCAAAGTTGGAAGAACAAATCAAAAAGACATGAATGAAATGGTGAAATTGGTGAAAATACTGGAAATTACCGGACATTCCTATTCGGATGCGTTAGTTAAAAAAATAAAATGATAAAAATTAATTATTTGAAATTTAAAGATGTGAGAACGCCAACTTTTGAAATGAACAAATAATTCTGACCTGAAATTAAAATAAGTGAAATTTTGAATATACACAGACAACAAAAAGAAAATGATAATAAAATTAAATCAACATAAGTTATGAAACATACAAAAAATTTAAAAAAACAAAAAAAACATTATAAACCAAGTTACTTCACGACGTTTTGTTTGTTAGTATCCATAATCGTATAGTCATAGTCATAATCATTCATTTTCACCTTTTGTCATACAAAGTACATAGGCACGTCTTACAAGTAACATTTCATAAAGGAACACATAAATATGTAGGTATATACAAAAAACATAATTATGATTTGTCGAATAAATATCACAGAAGTATTACGTTACTTCTTACCCAATTGGAAGTAACGGTTTCGGACACAGCATCCTAGAAATTTCGCTGAGGACTCCTATAGGTAACCTCGTTCTACGTGCCAAGAATTGCATTTACCGAATGACATACGACTGCGGCAAATCCTATCTCGGTAAAGCCAAGAGGCCATTGGCGAACACAATAAAAATTCCCATAACATCGAGTAATTCGAAGCTGAAATCATCCACTGGTTTGAAATAAAGTTCAAAGAAGCTGCGTACATGCTAGTGTAGAGATATGCAAATTATGGAAACCACTAAATAAGTGGGAAAGCGGTGTGCCTTGCGCTGAACCAGAAACGGGAGGAGGAAATGGAGATTAGGAGCAGAGAAAAAGCCTAAGTGACCTATAAATATCTAGAATATTGTTAGTATCCAGTCATCACTGGATCACTGAATTTTAAAGCGAAGTGCGAATATTAAATAATCGCAAGTTCGTACCGATATTATATGGAATTTTATGTTTTTTCCTATGAATTCCCCTAAAATGTACCGTTTTCGAGTACATGTTCCATGCATATACTCGAATTTCACTTACTATAAATATAGTTTAAAAACTGAAAAACACGCTTTTAAAGAAAATCGAACTAAAAAGTTAAAAATAGTTTTTCAAATAAGCTTAAAACAATAACGAACGAAAAATACTAGTAGGTATTATTGTAAAAATAATATACTCCAATCATTAATACAGAGTCGGCGTCAAGTGTTTTGAAGCATCACCATTATGATTTGAATATAAGTAGATCAGAAAGTTCTAAATCGTAGTGACCGCTGGATCGAAGGGAAGGTTATTATAAATTTTCTCCCGCCAAAAGTGATCTAAATGATTGTAGTCTTAGCATAACCAAAACATATTGAGAATTCGATTAGTATAATCTAGGCTTTAAATGGAATCAAAATCTCAATTTAAGGATCACAGGAGTTTCTGATTGATTGACGTTTCTTTCTGTTTGGTTCTTGAACAATTGAGTATATTGATATATGTTTTTTTGTTCCAGGGCCTTATTGATGAAAAGAGGTGAAATGTTCAGAGTATTAATTTGCTTGACTGCTCTATTTTCGCTAACAGCGTGTGAGGCCTACTACTACACCATTGCCTGGACCGAATATATACATGAGATTGACAAAGATTGCAAGGGAAATATAGGACCGGGAACAAACATTCATGACTTATTTTTCGTAGATGACAGACCAAGAAATTTGAGCTATCCCACCTTCTGTTGCTCTGATTATTATATCCGATTTTCTAATTCATCAGTGCCGACGATGGCGACTTTTACATTCGGTACCCGACCACATTATATCAAGGGCGTCACAATGAGTAATACTAATATTTCGAAAATTTTACCAGGAACTTTCAAGGAACTGGAGAATTTGAATTGTTTAGATCTCTCGCATAACAATCTCAGAATGATAAAGGAAGGAATATTCAACGGATCGGCCCATTTGCAAGACTTGAATCTATCGAATAATAATATAATATATATTTCTGAGAAGGCTTTCGAAAAAACACCTCTGCGTAATCTTTTTTTACAAAACAACATGCTTTCGTCAATGGAAAACAATTTATTTTCATGGCAGAGGTTGACACTGATTTCAATAAATTTGTCGAATAATTTTTTGAGAGTAATCAACGATACTTTTATCGACATGAATTCATTGATGACACTGAATTTGAACCAGAATAATATTGATATCGTAGATATGGCTAGTGTACATTCAATTGAAATACATCTCAAGAATAATAATGTCTCCCAGGTTAAAGCTCTGGCGAAAAAGACAAAACTCATCGACTTTGGAGGAAATAATATACACTCTCTCGAGGATTCCAGTAGCGGTTTTATCAATTCATCAGTTTTGGAACTATATTTGAGTAGAAATGGAATTCAGCTCAGTGAAAACTCATTTGTCAGCATAGCCAAGTTAACACATCTTCATCTGGATAACAATAACATCAGTGAAATCCTTAGTAGCGCTTTCAGACCTCTGAGGGCCTTGGTTTTTTTGGATCTTTCACATAACAATATTGTACAGTTTCAGTATGGTATCTTTGAACTCATGTCTAACATTCAGTATTTAAACATTTCTTATAATAATTTGACAGAATTGCAAATACAGCTTTACAGTTCTTTGGGAAAACTGAAAGAAATCGATTTCCGAAGAAACCAAGTTAGTAAACTGGATGTTGAAACTCTTCTTTATCATTGCCCCTACTTACAGAAGATTAACCTCAATGAAAATATTTGGAAGTGTGAGACATTAACGAATATTGTGAAATACTGTGGGGATAAAAATGTGGATGTTGTTGCAGGAAATTCGACTGATTTCGATAATGTTAGGGGAAATCCATGTTTTAATGGTGACTTTGAAATGAACGAATACGACGATAATGAAGTTTTTGAGAACAACCATTTTTATGAATATCTCCTGAGTCTGAAGTTAGGCCGTGACCTGCATTACAAGAATAGCGTGATTAATAACCTTTTCAATAAATATTTTGAGAACAATATTGTTAGCAAAAATGTTCATCCTCTTATATTCAGCATTCCAGTTTCATTATCACTCATATTCATTTTATTAGGTGGTATGTTTGTTTTATTTTTGAAAAAGAGTACCCTCTTTTAACATTTCGTTCATCATCGTATGTGATAATATATTTTTTATTTCTCTTCAGAAATTCATTAGATTGTAAAAAGTGAAACACTTTGCGGACATATAGGTAAGAAATGAACATAAAGAAGAGCCCAAAATTGTCCAGAAATGAGTAGGAACATAACAAATATTATTATGAGGAATAAAACTTTCTGTTTTATTTTACACTTGTATTTGTGACTAACGTTACTGCAGTTTCGTCCTATAAGGATATTTTTAAACGAATACAGTAAATTGAAAATATGATAGTTCGTACTCGAACCTCTGACGTAAAATGAATCTATTGAAAAATACTTTCCCAACACCAGAACAAAAATTACCGTCTCTCGACGCGCGTCTCGGGAGATCATTATAACTAAATGTAACTGCTATGTTAATGTTTTTATATTCTGGAGGCCTAACTACTACATGGTTAGTATTATATAACTACTACCTGTTATTGATTCTCAACAATTTTAAACATTTCTCACTTATTTGCAATTTGTATCACGAGAGGTATCCAGAGAGAAGACAACCTTTTAGAGACAGTTTCGCAAGATTGCGACACAACCTAATTGATGGTGGTTAATTTGAAAAGAAAAAGCCAAAATTATATGAATCAAATAGGGATAAGGGTTGAAAAAAATGGTCGTCTTAGGAGCTGTTGAGAATAATCCAAAAACATCCACGCGAATTTTGAAAATATCAACAGGCCTACCAAAAAATAACTTTAGAAGAATTTTAAAGAAATAGAAATTCAAGGCATATACAGGACCAGAACAGTGTATCAACTCAGACCAGGAGATTTTGAAGCATGCTTATAAGATTGGACTTATTTTTTGTTGGTAGGATTTGAACAATATACTCATCAACTTCAGAAAAAAATATTGTCTTTATAATGGTTTTTAAATAAATAAAAAAGGAATCGTTTATATGATTGAATTCATTTATTAATTTGGCCAAACAATCTTTGAAATCCGATTCAGTGATTTTTCAAATCGATAAATTCATGAATCGTGGTTCGTGATAGCTGTAATGTACATTTTTGGAAAATGAAAGTTTTTGAACATGTTCAGTGCGTTAAGCATTTTGAATTCTGATCAAGCGCCTCTCAAGTCAAACTTTCTTCTCCGCCTCCGAAAAATATGAACGACGTGCCATTCGATTCGGAATAGAGTGAAGATGATTTTTGAAAAAAATCAAGTACCGCTTGCAAAAGTTGCAAAAGACATTTTTCAAATTTGAAAAACGTTCAAAAACAGTGACAAAAATACACACTTCTTACTTGTCTCTAGTTCACAACATCGATACCAGAGGCAGTATCGTTTATTATGAATTCCCTAGTTAGGAATCAAAAATCTCCTTTATCATGTCTTTATGTATCTTGGCAATACACAGTAAACAAGTGTATGAATGTAATATCCACATATGGAATAAATTTTCCTTCTATAATACTTTGAAACTTAAAACAATCATATTGATCTTCAGGTCTAACATAAAACAATAATATCAATTATTTTATTTTTATAAAACAGTAAGCATCAAACCTATACTTATTAATCATTTAATAATTATTATTTCCATTGTCTGCAGCCAGCATTTGTTACTACTTGAATACAAGGTTTGTATATGACCACAGCATAATTGTTACTTATGCTGCGATATGACTAACCCTGATTTGAATTAGATTTAGAGGTTACCACTAATTAGCAGGCGAGATTTATCACTTCCATAGACTAACAACCATTGGACTGGCCCACAAATTTTGTGGACTGGCCTTCAGAACGAGGTGATTGAGGACAGCATTATTTAAAAAGGATAGAATACTTCAAATCAGTTCTTCTCTTGAATGTGAGCTAAAGAAAGAGACATATTGTGAAAGATAGAATAATCTGAGTCATATATCAGAGTTAATTACGTACCAGGTCACAGAATATACATTAGTTAGTACCTTGATCATATATTATTTCATCTTTCAGTCTCTTTCTCTTAAGGTAGTATGCAAGTAATCAAGTAGCAAAGTGATAGGATGGGCGATCCAATGGTTATAATACCTATGTGCTTCTGTCAATCGTTCTGTATATTTATAAAATTTTCAGGCGCATCTGTCAACCGAACTGTTACCACTCCGTCATTTCTGGTTAACCAACTTGGGAAACGGAACGTGGCACAGAATGTGACAAAATTAGACAAAGAGGGCAAGTCAAAGTAGAAGAAATGGAAACCAATTTTGAAATTTTACGTCGGTGCTGCAGCGTTGCCAGATGCATTTTTTTCTTTGAAGAATTTGATTGTGACTTGAAATAATAATTTTCTGTTCATATTATGAGAAATCTGGACAAATATATATGTTAACAAAGACCAGTCACTGATAATTTTAGTGATCGATCAGTTTATTTTTATATGTTATACTGTTTTCTGAAGAACCCTAATAAAGAAAGAAAAAGTTTAAAATCCAGAAAAAGTTAAAAAATGAAAATAATGACAAGTTAGTGGTTTTGTTGCAGATTTACAAATAGAGTAAGTCGCCCTAAGTGGGTGGTACCTTTCAATTTTTTATAGAATCTATACTCATTTCTTTGTACTCATTATAATGAGTAAAAAGTTGTACAAACAACAACTGACTCAACTGTCTTTTTTCAAAATTAATCAACAATAATATATTTTTCAGGTAAGCGCTGCACGCTATCCAAAATTCTGGTTAGTAGTGGTTAGGAAGTGGTTATTTTTTCAACATGAACTAAGTGAAAAGAATGGTCTTATGACCCTTTTTGTAAACTTACCATAAAAAAAACATAATAGCATCGGTGCCATTCGCGCTAATTCTGAAAACATATGAGTTAGTCTGGCGTTAAAACAATGGTTAAACATTTTTGTATCTAAAGACATCTAAACAGTTTATCGCATTATCTAGAAAATTGAGAGAACTTCAGCTGGCAACACTGTATTGCTAAGCAGTCTGAACTTGAGCCACCTTGAGCACTCAGACTCAGCACTCCAATCAGTCTAATCTCCAATTACCAATTTGGACATTGACTCTGGAGTTGAGTTTCCCAAGTTTTCATAATTTAGTACTGCTTTCAATAGTTTTGCAACCATGGCGTACTGTATGCGAGTTTTGCATCGCCAGGTGAGTGCTAGAAAATGCACATTATGTATTTACAGAAATTGTACATCTCAAAATGATTCCTTCAATTTTATTGATATCAATTGGCTTGAGAATTGGGAAAAAACCTAAATTATGTAACGCATATTTGAGGCGTGCCATTGCAAAACACGCTATATTCATTCTGGTCAATATTCTAAGAAACCGTGGATTCTGCATATATGCTGGTTTCTTCACAAAATTTCATGGATTCTCAATTTTTTTCTAAAAACGAATATAGCGCATTTTGCGATGCCACACCTCAACTCAGAGTTGTATTTTTAACAAGTTTTTTCGAAGAATTCATTATGTGTTTTCAATATTGAAATTTTAATAATTATAACCATTTCTTTCAGGGTGGCAAAGCCAGCAGTCTTCTTTTCTCTGAGATACAGTCAAGATGCTTTCATGTTTCACCTTTAACTGCAGCTGCGGCCAAAGTTGCTATGAGCAGATTTGATAAAGACCCATTGCCATATGACAAACTCTCGAAAAATCTTGAAGTTGTGAAGAAAAGATTGGCAAGACCTCTAACTTTATCTGAAAAAATTTTGTATTCCCATATTGATCAGCCTGCAACACAGGTATATATGAAACATAGAAAATAGAACACATTTGTTTTTTAAAATTCCATTTTTATGATCTTTGAATATTTCAATCAAACTTTTTCTATTTTAATTTTGTAAATAAATTTTATTTTATTATGATGTGATTGAGGAATTCAAAATAGTATACATATTAGTGATAAAGTTTGATAATGCACATCTTATGTGATTACATAACTGTTTCAGTGAGTTAGGTTAGGTTATCTTTTTTGACAGCTGCATCATGCTCCAAATGACCTTATAGCATTTAATTTGAAACTCAAAGCAAGATATGTTGCATTTGTTCAAGTGGCATTTAAAAACCCTGCCAATGCACTCAATGTCCTGCCGCTCGATGAGGCATCAACTTGAATGCAACTATTGATGATCAGAATCCATATTGAATTCCAAAAGTAATAATAGATTGATGCAGCGTGATGAGCCATAGATACCTGATTCTTAAATTTCAAATAAATGCACGCTTATTATTCTTATTGCCAGCAATATGTAACTGGATGAATCCAAATTTATTGTTCAGCCACTCTTTTGAAGGACTCAGGTTCAAGTGTCCTAAAGACCCTTCCTCAGATGAAAAGCTTCAAGTTGGTCAGCTGATATGTGGAGTTGAGTGGCCTCAAAATATGGAAACATTTCATGTCCTCAAAGTACAAAATTGACAAACTTAACTTAGGATATGTCATGGAGCACAACGATGGAAATTTCTCATGGAATTTGTTTTTTGATGGCCAATACTTGATGAAAATGTATTGAAATTTGTTTCAATTATAATATAATAACACTTGTAAGACACTAATATCACAATATTTTTGACAAAGAGAGTCACAGATTATAGAATAGAAGATTATTTAAACATATTTATGAAAAACATTAAAGACAAACTTCAATATCAGTTAGATCAGAATCACAAGTTAACTTGTGATTCTGGTCCAACTGGGTGATTAATTTCCAAATGGTTAGGTCAACTAAATGCATTTTTTTCATGGACAAACAAATTCAAACATTTTTTACAATTCATCTTTTGGCAGAGGAGCATGATTTCAGTCATGATTTTGAAGTTTTACATTTGGAAGATAAATTCATCAAATTCATTCTTTTGAAGCAGCTTACAGAGAAATGTCGATTATCTTTAAAAATTATTTTCTAATGATAAAATTGGCAATTACTTAGATTTCATTTGAGGTTAGCAGAAGAACTCAGTCAGTAAATGACTGATTTCATTGGTTATTCCAATGAAGTATTTTCGAGTAAAATAAAAACATTGATTGTTTATATTCAAACAATGGATATTAGTGAATGATTACACTTACAACCTACTCAGACATTAATAAAATTAAATATATTCTGACTAAAATCAGTCTTTACAGTGAACAAAGTCAGTCTCTAACGTCTCATGATTAGTGAAAAACAGAAACAAATTTCATAAGCTTCTTCCTCTTACGCACCACAATAGCTTAAGCCCCGAAAATGTTGGAAACTTTTTTATATGGATATAAACATTTTATTTTGTGATCTAGGAGAGGGAAGTGTCTATCGGAAAGTAAAATATAGGTATATGTTACGTCTTGATAATATGGACACTGATCTAAAGTAATTCATAGACTTTTGTGACATAAATCTCTTGATACTTAACATAATTTTTTTTCAAATTTGAACTAGCAACTTCATCGCTTGGGAATGATTTAGTAAAAAAGGCAACTAATGAATTTTTAGGGGTCAAAATTCAGGAATCACATTATCATGTTAAGTGAAAAAAATCGTATCAGCAGGTTTGGGTCTTAGAACAGTCATAATTGAACTAGGGTATCAGCCAATCCTAATTATGCCTTGATAGAGTGTCAATTGCGGCAAAGAATATAATTTTGGGGCTAATATAGTGATGAACTTTTTCAGTTGTACGTATCAAAAGCGAAATTGGGAGATTCATGATTTTACTCAGAAAATAGGTCACAACACCCATTTCGCAGATATCCTCAAAAAACCGATTCTAGTTTGGCGAAAAATATTTCATATACATTGGTGTTGAAATATATTGTAAACTGCCTGCAACTGTGGGGTGTACTGAATGAAACAGTGAGTTATATTTGAAATGAATTTGATCTGGCATGCCTACTATAATTTGGACTAATTTTATGTTGAAGCACCTTGAGTACAACAAATTCAAAAAAAATTATTTTGTGACACTTGTGATTGTCAAATTAACTGTTACTTATTTCATTTCAACAAATTCATTTTTTACGTTCATACAATTTCATCATTCCTATTTTTTGTACTGTGTACTTTTTTGTCAATAAGATGTTATTTTTTCAAATGATAAACATATATTGTTTCTGTTCCTTTCCTGTTTTTTGGGTCATCTACTTGACACAGTTGATCATTGTTGCTATCATGTCTCCTCATTATCTGAAAGATTTTAACTCTACAAAGGAAAACATACATATGTACCTTGTTATGCAATAGATAATTCAATATGCCAGCGGGCACTTATGAATTGTAATACAAATGTTAATAAAAGATAACATTTCGATATGAGAGGATCCATACCAAAGTTCTAATTAAAGGCTGGAGATCTAATGTAATCAACAACTTTCTTGCATAAAACTTTTTACCTGAAGAATACCCAAGACTTGTATCATTTTCTGTGGGCAAAATGACAGCAATGGATCAGCAATACATTTCAGAGTTTTGATCCTTACAAAAAACATTTACATTCAGGACTATATACTACGTATATATTTATATAAATATTTTAATATTAACATATGTTCACAAAAAGGATTTGAAGCTTTAATAACTTCTTCTTATTACATGCTAGTCCCAAATGTGGAATTCCCCCTATTTGAAAATACAAATGATTTCGTTTTATTGTCTTATAATAATAATAAATGCCATTAATTGGTGAATACCAAAGGGCCATCGACCGAAGTCCTTCAGCCAGTGTAGAATTTTTAAATATTTGCAGTAATTTTTACATATGCTCACATAATAGAATTGAGATACATTATACTTGTGGAGAAAAAGGAAAAGAATCCATAATAAATTATTAGAGTGATTTGATGTTTTCCCAAATAGTTTTTTCCGGGTATTTGAATTTGGTTAGTTGTCCTTCAGCTCTTTACCTACATAATGCCTGCAGGGTCTCCAAGTTAATTTTGTTTTTTGCAAAGCGGTTTCCTAAGTCTGACAGTCTCTCCTTTATAGGTTTCACTTTTATAGTTTCCTACAGCAGTGCGTTTGAGGGATTGTGTAGTATGTTCTGATAGTGACGCATTTTGGTATTACTCCTAAGTGTAGATGTTTCAGCTGAATGGAGATTGTTAAATGCAGGATTATGACAACTTGAATGATATGTATGCATATCTGTTAAAACCTGTTTTTTGTTAACCAGAAGTGAACGGCAGATCATTTTATATGTTTTAGTGTTGATTTCTTTTTTTTTAATGTCAATAATGTGTTTATTGATGCATTTTGTTATCACTTTTGTATAGCTGTTCAAGTTGATTTTGTGGTCAATGTTAACTCCTAGGTTTTCAACTGATTATCTGCTTCTTACCATATCTTTGTTGATATTTAATGTAGGTAGCTTCTCTGAAGGGTTGTGAAAAAAATGATAAGTTGTTATTTTTTCTGGGTTTGATCTCAATCGCCATTCATTGAACCAGAGCATTGTCCTGTCGATGAGTCTTTGCAGCTACTCTATTGTGAGTGTGCGTTGTGCGAAACTAAGGCAGTGCCCATTTCATTTTTGTCTTCCAAGTTGTGATTGTATTTATCATGGCAGTATATTTTATAGAGAAGCTAATTTTTGGGAGAATACATTTCTGATTCTAACAATAGAGGTTCTGTTCTCAAAATATTTGTTTATTATACATAAAAGATAGATAGGGGTGTTCAATTTCTATAATAAACATAAATATCATGATCACGTTACCTGTTAAGGGAGAAAATGAAGTATTGTGTTAACTGCATTAAAAAAAATCATAAGATAGAAAATCAAATACAAACTAAAGAGCAATGTCAAACAATTACTTTAATCCATGCAGATAATAAATCATACAGAATTAATATATTTGTCTCGAGGAGAGGAGTCTAAAGCTAGACTAAATGAAATTACATCTGAATTGAAGGGGTTATATTTTTAGGAGTGTTTATCAATAGATTATTTCTTCTGTGGCATTTTGTAACCCAGCAGGTGTAATATCCTGCATTTTTTGCCTGATTCTGATTTAAAGTCACACACATTACAGGGTGTGTTAATAAGGACTTCAGATTTCAAATAACCCCATATTTGATTTTACCATCCTGTTGAAAGCAGATTCCGCAGTATTGACTATTTGAATATTAGAAAAATATTGTTGTCAAATCAGGTTGAGAAATCCGGTTAAAATGCTCATGTCACATTTTCATTGAAAAAATAGACCAATAATTGTATTTCCACAATACCAGCTTTTGAGGTCGATGTGTGAGGTATTTTTGCATACAGTGTCCAGACCAATAACGTGTGTTTTGCCGACTACTATGCTCGTTCAAATAAAATGTTTCCTCGTCTGAAAATCAAACAGTTGTTAAATTGTTATTTCAATTAGGTGAGTACAAGAAGCATTCACTTTTTCTATCAAAGACGTCTTTATAAAGATGATCTGTTACCCTTCTGTATCTGTAGAGTAGGGAGGGTGAGTGTAGACCAACAGCACTTAGGCCACATCTGCACCATTGTACATCCTCCTGAGGAGTTGTCCTCCTAGGTCGTCGTCCATCCTGTCCTTTCCAGGAAGGTGGACATGTCACTGGGATACATCTCCTTTATATCGGCAGGTGAAGGCAAAGACTCGCCGAACACACACTCTCTTTGGCAACCTTGAAGTGTCTCACGGTGGCCTCCCCGAAGGTTTTGGAAGGTTCAGCGACATTACTGTCGTTGCGCGGCTTCTTCAACCTTCTTGGGGTTCCCTCCGTGGAGGTGCACAAGTGAGGAAGCTTTCCTGCAGGGGCAGCTGGTTACTTGCCTTTAGTCAAGGCGGAGCTCTTGGCGCCCGCTGCAGGAAGTGCCCTTGCTGTTGAAGGTGGAGTGGGGGAGGAGGAGGGTGCACTTATAGTTGCTGCCACTCCTGCCTCCTTCGCTCTCTTTCTCCTTTTGGCCTCGGCGTCGCAAATGCGCTGACGCCTTGGCCTTGGAGTGGGAGAGGAGGAGGGTGCACTTATAGTTGCTGCCACTCCTGCCTCCTTCGCTCTCTTTCTCCTTTTGGCCTCGGCGTCGAAAATGCGCTGACGCCTTGGCCTTTGTATTACATCACGAGATGATCTGCTATGTCCAGCCTCATTCCAAGCAGTAGATTGGGGTGGACATTTCTGTTCATCCCCAGCCATTGCCTTAGATTGAGGTGAGCACTTCTGTCCAGCCTCGGGATTGGGTTTTGTTTTTGTTGTTTCTGTTTTTGTGTTTGTTTCATTCATGTGTGTTCCCACGAGTAGCAAGGGAAAAGTTGATCACCTCTGGCAGATCCCCGCATTACCAGAGGTAGGCTGATTACAATGCGGTTTCGCCCAGTTCGTAACCGCATATCACCCTGCGGCCATTCAGCTGTCGGCACGATTCCTTACACCTTAGCTTGGGTAGGCTGGTCCACGGTGGCATGTTTTACAAATGCTTTTGGGGAATTTTAGTTCCCATCACCCTACTTATTTCTGCCACTGACCAGGAGTGCGGCGACCCCGTCCGTAAGGCTACATTGGTTTCCCGGACAGGGCCTCCAGTCCCCTGGCCGTTTCCCTATCCGCCACCTGGGGACGCGCCCGATAGGTAGCCCAACCCACGGGATCTTTTACCCCTTTAAAAATGTTCAATACTAAATACTTACCAGTATATTTCCAAACTTCATAGTGTAAATTACTGGCCCTCTTATGTTTACTTTCGATGTTTGCTCACCCTGTACTAATTTAAGCAAATTGTGATACATTTTTTGAACTTACTCAGCAAATATCCAAGTCTGCATTCAAAAAAATTAGGATGGTCCAGAGAATATGAAAAATCTAATTTTAAAAATCAAATAGTACCAAACCGAAGCGAATGTAGTATTTGTTTATGAAATATTGTGTTTTATAAAATATTATTGCATTTGGAAAGTTAATTGATTGTACTGAGTGTCCCCTATTGACAAACCAATAAAAAATAAAATGACAATAATGTAAAATTTCACATAATCGATTGATTTCAATTTTAAGTTAAAGACCAAATATAGGACGAGAGCAGTCATTTTCAACTTCATAGTATTTTGCAAACAATTTTTCAAGTTTTTCGAACATCTGATTCTGAAATATTAATGTTCATAACCTAAAATGTTCAGGACTGTTCTTATATATAATTAAATATTTAAAACAATGAATTTTCGAGTGGTATGTCTTTAACCACCACGAAGTATGTATTGATATATCTGTGCATTTGTCCATAAGTAACTTATCAAGAGTAATTATTATTATAGGATATCGAAAGAGGAATATCTTATTTGAGACTACGCCCTGATCGGGTTGCTATGCATGATGCCACGGGACAAATGGCCATGTTACAGTTCATTTCTAGTGGTCTGAAACGGGTAGCTGTACCAAGTACCATAAATTGTGACCATCTTATTGTAGCTCTAGATGGGAGCGCGAAAGATGTTGCTAAAGCTATAGAACTCAACCAAGAAGTATTCAATTTCTTATCATCAGCCTGTAATAAATATGGCCTTGGATTCTGGAAACCGGGGGCAGGTATGTATTATAAGTTTTTAAACAATTTCAAGTAATGATTCTGTCTTCTCCAGTTACTGTGTGAATGACATTTTTTTCAGGTATCATTCATCAAATTATATTGGAAAACTATGCGTTCCCTGGTTTTTTGATGATCGGAACTGATTCGCATACACCAAATGGGGGTGGTCTCGGAGGACTTTGTATTGGCGTTGGAGGTGCTGATGCTGTAGATGTAATGGCTAATATTCCCTGGGAATTGAAATGTCCCAAGGTCATTGGTGTTAGATTAACAGGTAGGTGTGTAACTAAGAAAGTGATTATTTTGGTCAACTTTTTTCCCTGCATGAATAATAACTGAACAATCGTGGTTTTCAAGCAATTAACTCAGTGGTTTAAAGAACCTCAGTAGTGCTAGGAATCGCGCGTTAAAAGGTGAAACCTCGTTAATTCTCAGCCCAAACAAGTTTTAACTTATGAAAGTTGTTACCCCAAACATTGTACACTCATTGTGAATACTATGACAGCACTTTCAATAATTTAAATTTGTACAAATATGATTAAACACTTTTTTTAGCAACCCAAAAACATGGGGATATGAAAAATCCATAGATTTTTTCAAGAACGTTGGTTTTTAGGAAAACTTAATCCATAAAGGTTATATGTTTTAGGGACAGTTGTTACAGATTATAATAGCATAGTGTGATGATGCTCCTTGTTTGTTGAGATTATCAATCAATCAAAAATGTACTTTATTGTCAAAGAAAAAAATTCTTATTAAGAAAGCTTAAATAAATAAAAAAAACAGTCAATTCACAGTAACAATGGAACAATATAGATTCTAACGCTACATGTAGACAGGACATAAGATTCTACAAAGCAGTTAATAATTGATTTACATGTATAGATAAAATAAATAAATCAGTCGGTTCGACTGAAATTATCATCATTGCACTCTGATTTGATCACAAACTTTTTCCAAAATTAGTACTTTTTCCAAACTGGATTCGTAGAAAACTAATTTATAACTCTAAAAATTATCACTATTTATATCGTAACAGGGTATACTTCCACTTTCCATCAAATATCAATGATTTCGGAAAAAAATTGCTGGAAATTTTTCCGGTCCTGGTCAATGTTCATATGGTTCTCAAGCCACAGTTTGCTTTTTCTAGACTTTCTAAAGCATCCAAAAAAATATACTGACTTCAACAATTTCAGACAGTTGTTGTTCGTCTATGGCCATTGTCCAAGGCTTGTCTTTTCTATCAATGGATTTTAAAATTTTTAGATGTATTGTTGATTGAATTTTTTACTTTTTTCATTTTATAGTCTTAGTCTTTATTCAATATCTAACATATGAAAATGGATGTTTGTTGGTTGGTTTGTAAGTGATAAACTTCTACATCGCTCAACCGATCGTGATGATGCTTGACATATTTTTCATAGAGGTTTTTTCTGTAACTCGCCACTAGATGGCGCTGTAGAACAATTTTTTGAAAGCACTGTTCTATAACACTGCACACGCCTAAGTTCGTTGATTCTGATTCTGCCAAAACATTGGAACAGCAGCGATTCAGCAACATAGTACTAATTAGTACTACAACTACCAAATTCTATGCGGGCGAAGCCGCGGGCAACAACTAGTATTATAAAAGTGTAAGTTTTGCTATTTCAAATGACAATTTTTTGGCTAGTCTGGGGAATTTATGTAATGATAATTAAGTAAATTTTATGAAGAATACATTCTATAATATTCTTTGATTCAATTAAACTAAAATATAATGTGAATTTTTTGTGAGTGTAATTTGGAAAAAAAGCTGAAGAAGGTTTTTTAAAAACTATTACTACTGATTTAAGATTCTTCTCCAAAAGGCATTTTGACGTTTTTCATAGCTGTCGGTGCCAATTTTTCTGTTTTAGCAATTGAATTATCATCCTTTGTTTCAGGAAAACTATCAGGCTGGACATCACCAAAAGACATCATTCTCAAGGTTGCAGACATATTGACTGTGAAAGGAGGTACTGGTGCTATTATAGAATACCATGGACCAGGTTGTGATTCTGTGTCATGCACGGGTATGGCAACCATTTGTAACATGGGTGCTGAAATCGGTGCAACTACATCAGTGTTCCCTTACAACAGTCGTATGTCTGACTATTTGAAAGCCACCAGTCGAGCTGAAATTGCAGGTGAAGCTGACAAGTACAAGAGTGTTCTCCTCAGCCCTGATGAAGGTAGGCTCACTTTGGATTACTTTCACTTCAGTAAATTTCAACAATTTTTTTTTGCAGGTGCAAAGTATGATCAAGTCATTGAAATCAACCTAGACACTCTAGAACCTCATGTGAATGGTCCGTTTACCCCTGATCTGGCCAACCCAATCAGCAAATTGGGTGAAAATGCCAAAAAGAACGGTTGGCCTATTGATATAAAAGTAGGTCTTATTGGATCGTGTACCAACAGTTCTTATGAGGATATGGGACGCTGTGCTAACATCGCCAAAGAAGCGATGGCTCACGGTGTTAAGTCGAAAATACCTTTCAATGTCACTCCTGGATCAGAACAGATCCGCGCTACAATTGAAAGAGATGGTATTTCCCAAACTCTGACAGAATTTGGAGGAACGGTGAGTTAATAATCACTACAAAATTGTTTCTGGCTGTTAGTGGGTTCGGGATACCTTTCTTCAATTGACAGATCAGGGAAGGTCTTCAGTGTACAATATCTTGAAATAATTATCAGCTATCGATGAAGGTAAATACATACATTTTTCATGATATGGTTCAGTCAAATTCAATTTCCGAATGTGAGAAATATGATTTCACAGTAGATTGAGTCATTGAGAACTTGGCATACCAACAAAGTTGCAGACGCCATAAGACAAATTATTAATATCTACAAAGTATTATATTTTTAATGATTTCCACATCCAATATATAAGCAATAAATGTGTCTATAAGTTTCGAGCTTATGAAAAAGGGCAATAGAAAACTTGAAAGCATAGCATGAATTTCGCTTGTAATTCAACCGAATTTGTTTTTTCAAAATTTATTCTGAATGATTTTCAAAAAAACAAGTTCAGTATATTTGATTCCTTCACTCGTTAACTCTTTATTGGCAATATTCATATAAGCCCTTTCATAAAATCCTTAAATATTCAGCAAAATAATTCAAATTCTCAGATGAAACATTTGTTCATTAAGTAATGATAGATACTAAAGAAATACTATCTTTTCTTTTCATGAGTGTTTCAAAAGCTTGTAAAAGGTGGTGAATGATACGACAAGAGCGGTTTATAGGGGGTTCGGAATACTCTTTTTAGCTGCCCAAGCTTTTGCTAATGTTTATTAGCTTCATCGTGGGTGTTAATCTTAGCGACTGGAGAAATGTACAGTAAAATGGATTAACGGGGTCTCTCAGTCAACAAATCAAAACTCTACTCTACTTCGCCAAGCTTTTGCTTCTAATGAGAAGCTTCTTCAGGGCCTATAATTTAATGAGTTGTGAATTTTTTCGCTAATGAATAACATTACAAATCATACTTACAGTAAAAATGAGTGAAAAAAAAATAAATTGAACATTGAAGAAGAAAGTTGAATATGTATAGAATTTTTTTGGGTTTGAAAAATGTCATACCTTCACATAAATGTCATTTTTCAATGGGTATATTTTATATGATTGATACAATTTTCATTATTATTATGTTTTTGATGTAGTTCCAGTAAGTTACCTTTATACTGGTGATATTATCAATGTCAGTTCTTTTATTCATACAATCAGAAGACTTATTAATTTCAATAATTTCAAGAAAAAGGCGTTAGGAAATATTTTTTCTGTATGTAAAACTTTGATATTAGAGTAATTTGGTTCATGTCCTGTTTTTATAAAATGTTGTGCTACTGCACATGATTTCTTATTAAGCTTTATATCACTTTTGTGTGAAGTTATTCTATCATTGAGAATTCTAGATGCTGTTCCAATATAATCCAAGTTACAATAATTGTTACAAGGAATGTTATAAATCACATTTGACTTTTTTGTAGTATCCGTTTCATCTTTCAATTTAGTATTCAAATTCTTTATAGTTTTAATATTTTTTGGCATATTTTGATATTTTGTTCATTATGAAAAAGTTTTATGATATTTGAAGATAAATTTTCAAGGTTAGGTATAGATTTATGATAAAAATTAATAGGTGCACTATCATTACATTCATTTCTGTTGATTACATTGGAATTTGTATAACTGCCAGTATTGAAAATTATTTTATTGAGAAGTTTTTTGGGATTTTTTATTTATATCATTCATCAATTTATTGTTTTTCACTCATTTTTACTGTAAGTATGATTTGTAATGTTATTTAATGGCGAAAAAATTCACAACTCATTAAATTATAGGTCCTGAAGAAGCTTCCCATTAGAAGCGAAAGCTTGCCAAAGTAGAGCAGAGTTTTGATTTTTTATTTTTTGACTGAGAGACCCCGTTAATTCATTTTACTGTACATTTCTCCAGTCGCTAAGATTATCCACTTATGCAACTAATTTTCCTTTATTTTCAGTATTTTAATATTAACATATCTCACAAAAAGGATTTGAAGCTTTATGATTTCTATTTATTATATGTGAGCGCTTTTGATAGCTGGCTGTGCTGTCATCTTCAAAGCTCTACTCAAACTGCAGTTTGATAATTGGATTTCTTCTTTAAGACAATCTTGTAAATACTATTTTCAGTTTAATTTTTTTGACACAAGTTTTACTGTTCAGCATCATTTTCTAGGTTCAATTTTGAGTTGCCACTGACTGTAATCACAATATCATCAATGTATGCAGTTAGTCAGAATTACAGTACTACATCGATTATAAAAGCAATTTTTTTCTGCCGGAAATTTTTCCTATTTCATTATTTCTCGTTGTCTTCATTACCCAGTCCTTACTCGTTTTTCATTTTCATTTCTTACTAGGTGTTAGCGAATGCTTGCGGGCCTTGCATTGGTCAATGGGACAGAAGAGACATCAAGAAAGGAGATAAAAACACCATTGTTACATCATATAATCGTAACTTCACTGGACGTAATGATGCTAATCCGGCTACTCATTGTTTTGTTACCTCACCAGAGCTTGCAACAGCACTGAGTATTGTTGGAAGACTGGACTTCAATCCTCTAACCGACGAAATCGAAGGCAAGTTTTCATCAAACAAATGTCTGAAAAGTTGATGAAGTATATTTTTTTACAGGTGCGGATGGTAAAAAGTTTAAGCTGAGTCCTCCATTCGGAGATGAACTCCCCAGCAAAGGATTTGACCCTGGTCATGACACATACGTTAAACCTCTTGAAGATGGTTCCAACGTGAGTCTTGATGTAGATCCAAAATCACAGCGGCTTCAATTATTGAAACCTTTTGAGAAGTGGAATGGAAAAGACTTGGAAGACATGACTATTCTGATAAAAGTAAAAGGAAAATGTACTACGGATCACATTTCTGCTGCAGGACCTTGGCTGAAGTACCGTGGTCATCTGGACAATATTTCAAACAATATGTTCATAACGTAAGATATTTCTAGATATCTCGTTTTCCAAAACATGGTTCAAGTTGAAACCTTTCTTGTGATGGTACAAAATAGCTTCTTTCCAATTTAAACATAAAACGTGGTACGCTTAATCAAATTCAAACAAAATCTTATTCACTATTGATGAATATTTCACAAGTTTCAAATTTGAAATCTCTTTTTCCACACTCTGTGATATAAACCAAAATACTTTACTATCAGTAGAAAATATTTTACAAATTTTTAATAATTATAATTACTATAATCCACTCTCGCCAAGTCCTCTGAACAGTTTAAATCGATTTTTTATTCTTTTACTTTTCCATAATGGAAGTTTAGTAGCCCCCATCATTCAACCAAAAACATTATCATTCATATCCAAATATACCTTTAATTCCTGTATTTCAATTTTTACCTTTTCAGTGCCACAAATGCTGAAAATAACGAACTCAACAAGGTGAAGAATCAAGTCACTGGTGAATGGGGAGCAGTACCTGACGTAGCTCGTTACTACAAAGCGAAAGGAGTTCAGTGGGTTGCCATTGGTGATGAAAATTACGGCGAAGGTAGTTCTCGCGAACATGCTGCTCTTGAACCTAGATATTTAGGAGCTCGCGCGATCATTGTCAAATCTTTTGCTCGTATCCATGAAACTAACCTGAAAAAACAAGGACTTTTGCCACTCACTTTCTCCAGCGCTAGCGACTATGACAAAATCCATCCCTCAGACAAGATTTCATTGAAGAATCTGAAAAATCTCACTCCAGGAAAACCAGTTGAATGTGAAATCAAACATGCTGATGGTAAAGTTGAGAAAATATTGCTCAATCATTCAATGAATGATCTTCAAATAAGTTGGTTCAAAGCTGGTAGTGCACTTAATCGAATGAAAGAATTGGCTCAATAATGTGAACAGATCATCCAGTTAAGTTTTAGGTACTTAAAATTCAATCATATTTACTTCTCATAACAATTATATTTCATTAATGTAATTTGAAGCATGTTTTTTCTTGAAATTTTTGTCTATATATATATTCATTTGTTGTACCATATTTAAAGTATATTTTTAACCATACATATTCAATCCTAACAAATTTGCAGACAATAAAGTTATTTTGTTAATTTTGTTTTTTGTTTACCTTACACCAATTGTTAGTAATATACTATTTGTAATTTTTTGTAACAGAAAAACACTGTCTCATTTGATCCGTTTTCATCAAATAAAAAACAATTTTTCAGTATAACACTTATTGAAAAAGTCATACAGGAATCGAACCTACGTCCAACATAGCAGTAATAACATAAGTGGAATTTACTAACCAGCCGAACTGATATCCTACTAATGTAAATGTGCATCAAATTCTTCTCTAATTTCAACTTCATATAAGTAATAGTAGTTTTGAATAGTACTATATAATTTTCATGAAATTTGCTGATTTACACAAGTTCTGCGCTTGCTGATGTACACTGTGTGTACAAGGTTCTGTCAAGGGAAATTCTCTTTTAGCTAGATGTATTTGTGCAGTGAGATATTCTAATCGATTGGTACCTAACCGTCAATTATTCACAAATATGTCTTTGTGAAACTGGTTCTTTATCAAAAAATACAGATAGTGTTGAAAAGTTGCATAGTGTTATAGTTCATTTTCAAAAACGATGCAGTAATAATAACTTATTATGTAAGCAACATTTTTTTTTGATCGTGTCAAATACAGTATTATATAATATGATTAGGTTTCACATTCACAAAGTTATATTTAGTTAAGTAAAAAATATGATGAAAACTTAACCCAAACAACAAATCGGTTGAATCAAAATAATGTTTTCACACACATTTCTTAATATTTTCCCATTATAACTATACAGTATACAACATACATACAGCATGCTTCCTGTAAATTATCTTTATTTTTACTTATCCTCTATTGAGAATGGGTCTTTTGTCTTACACAGGTAGGTTGACCCTGTATTCACAAAGATTTTTTTATCTCACAGATTGGCTTTCTTATATTTTTTAAATTATTTATTCTTTGCTCATTCCTTTTTGCTGTTTTTTTTTCAGTTTTAATTAACTAGTTCGAATTTTTTGGTCTGATAATTTTTAGTATTATCAATTCATTTATTTTTCCATAGATTTTTAATTTGTTAACACCTTTTTAGACAATGACAGTCCGAACCTGTCAGGGCTGATTAGTACATCTTGTGCTGTGAAATGTATATTTTCATTTACAATTTTCATAACAGAAAGTATCAAATCAATCAACATATAATATAGTTTTGCCTGGTTTGGTGATCCAAAATATTTTCAAATGCGGTTTTTTCTATTGGTTGGGAAAAGGATCAAAAATGTTCGTAGATAAACAATTTAGTTTTATGCTAACGTTTTGGACTTTATTAAATCCATCATCAGGGATCAAACATTAGTTATCCATGTCAAAAAAATGTTTAAAATATATGTGTCAGACAACATAGGTACAAACAAAAATGGGGACTAACCAAATGAAAACACATACACCACAGACACATTGAAAAAAATGTGCAGGACACGATGTGATACGGGATTAGATGTTCATCTAATAAAATCATTGAAAAAAACAATATACGACTGTTTCAAAAGCAATGAGATTCCTACAACTGAAATCATAGGGAAGAAATTGAATACTTCCGGCCATAACGTGAGCTGCTGTAACAAAACTCTTCAGAATTGGATAAAGAAACTAGGATTTAGATTTAAAATAATAAACAAACGTCAAGCAGTTATGAAAAGCACAAGAATAGTGGAATTGCGTAACAAATACTTAAAACAAATAACTAAATATAGACAAGAACAACGACAAATTTTCTATTTGGACGAAACTTGGTATGACACTCATGATACAGTTACGAAAGAGTGGACTGATGGTTCGAGAATGTGTATGCCTAACATGCCTGCAAACAAAGGATCGCGACTAATCATTGTGCATTGCAGAGGAAGTAAAGGATGGGTTCCGAATTTTTTGAAATTATGCGGAAAAAATCTTGAGGACTGCAATGTTGACTATCATAAGAACATGGAAGCAAATATTTTTGAGGAATGGTTTAAAAATACATTGATCCCAAATTTGGATACGAATAGTGTGATAGATCTTGACAGCGCTTCCTATCATTCGCGACAGCTCATCAAAGTATCGAATAAAAATTTGAGGAAAGATGAAATACAAAGTTTTTTAATGGACAACAATTTGTATTTTGAAGATAACTATACCAAAAACTATCTACTTGAAGTTTTACAGATAAAAACATTTGAAAAAGTGTATGCCCTTGAGAGAGAGTGCTGAAAAGTATGGACACACCATAATGAGACTTCCCCCCTATTTTTGTGTTTTCAATCCCATCGAGTTGATTTGGGAAAAATTGAAACAAAGCATCAGGCGTAAAAATAATTTTCCAAAATTCGATAAGGTAATAGAGCTAGTTAAAGAAGAAATATCTAATATTATCGAAGAAGACTGACAGAAAAGGATTAAAATAGTAATTTTAGTTGAAAAAGACTATATGGAGATTGGACACTTCCATATTAATGGTGGAAATAAATTCATTTTTGATTTGAATGACGACAGTGATAGTGAAACAGAATATTAAAGAGGAATTATCAGAAGCTTTCAAATCAGAAATGATTATTAAATGAAATGAAATTAGTTAGCTCCCCAACTATATTATTAAAAGGTAATTGTTGGAAGGTAGGTTGCACTATATCGTTTACTTGAACTATAACGTATGGAATTTGTAACGTTACCTTAAAGTTTTGTATAGTTATAGATAACCTTTTCAAAGGCAATAATAAAAAAAATAGATTTCATAGAAATTCATTGAACACTGAGCCATCAAACTAACCAGCAATAAATATTTGTTGAAAATATGAGACACGTCCTCTTTGAAACATGTTGAATTTTTGGTCAATGTGAAAGCCACCAAATTCTTAATTAGAAGATAATCACTTTTAAATTTAATATAATTAGTTCGTCAAGTAATGCTCCTAAGGTAGCATTTGAAATTTGAAAACTTCGGGGTAGTATTGAACAAAGCATTTTTTCATTTTTTGAAAAAGATATATTTCCCACAGAATTTTAACACAGTATTTGTTGCCTCCGAAAGGTCTATCATGTTTCTATAAGTAGTGAAAATTCCCTTTATGTATAATTTTGAAGTAAATAATGATTGTTTATCGTTTGTTTGAAGGTGGTTGACAACTAATGAAAGATTGTTTATGTAATTCCAGTTCATATATATTTATGAATCAGTATTATACTGAAAAGTTTCTATTTTGATGTACAGACAAACATTTTGAAATGAACAATATAAAATTCATTAAATATTTAATGCAGGATCATTCATATGTACCTATAATAAACTGATATTATTATCAGTTATCAAACTGCTTGTATTCGTTACTGTAAAAGTAAATATAATATTTGAACAGATTACAAAAAACAATGAAATTTCGAGATAAAAAAAAATAGTTTGTGCAAGGAATTTATGGATATGTTTCAATAGTATCCAAACTAATTTAATGCTCCGCCATTTTTCACTTGTGTACTACTGATGAAAAACCGTTAAAAAGGGGACCAGGTTTCCTGTAACGTGTTGAACCAAATGTCAAAATACTAAAGTTACATTGTCTTACAGTGATATTGAAAGTTTCACTTCAAATGGCAATCACTTCCAAATTTTCATAGTGAAAATATTTTCAATACAAATGTATCATTAAAATGGGGTTTTTATTAACCAGTTGCCTTCTCTATATTAAATAGCCTCTACGGGCTGGTGATTTACGAACTTTGCCATTCAATGTGCGATTCCTAGCAAGGATCGGGCAATATGAAGTGGATACATTAAATATTCAAAAAAGTCTATGAAATAAGTTATAGGAAATTTATGAATTACCGTAGTAACAAAAAAATCGAATCATTTTTAGAAAACGTTTTACTGACATACTTTGGAGTACATAGTACATTCCCGAGTACATAGTAGAGAGATCACAATTTTGGCATTTCATTTTGGATGCTCCAGGTAATTTATATCTGTCAACAAAGATAAGGATTTAGAATTGATACATTTTGAAATTTGTTAGGGATTGAACAATTTCTTTTATTTCGGGTGTATTCAATTTATAGCAGAACAGGAAGGAGCATGTAGAAGTGATAACGAGCTAAACCCAATGGAAAAAGATCAAATTGAAGATATGGGCGAAGAATTATTTATTATTCTTCCCGATACGAAGACAAAAATATGTCATTTTGTTGTGTTGATCCTAAATGTTTTGTTTGCTACATGGTTTTTATTCTTTATATGTATCTGACATGTCTTATGATTTTTGAATTCAATTATAGTTTTAACGTGAAAAAATTTCTTTTGGAACCTTGAAGAAGGATTTAGTTAAATTTGAAACGTTGGCAAGAAAATAACAGTTGTTTTTCTAAGACGATTTGATCCTGTTACCCAACAACCTTTCTAGATTATAATTTGATCTTGTTATATAACAGGTAAACAAAATTGAGGTACTCAATTGAGTTAAGTACCTCTTTTATTACCTACAGTGGTGTTTAGTTATATAAGGGCTATATTATTATTTATTTCCAGTTTTATTGTATAACTTTGAAAATGTCAAAAAACTTTTGTCTAAATACCATCATCAAGTATAAAACAGTTTTATAATCGGTCGTATAAATAAAATTTACCAGTGGTATTTAGACAAAAGTTTTTAGTGATCATGAATTACCATAAAGTAAACAAGTCATCAATCACACATATTTGAAAATGTCCATATAGGACGAAACTGCAGTAACGATAGTTACAAATAAAAGTGGTAAAAAACATGGAAGTTTCTGTTTTCATTACCCAGTAACTTTTCAAAGTGAACTTTTCAGTTTGCCCTTTATTGCACTCCAGCAAATTCTCTTTTGATTTTATCTTTGTTTATTGTTCAGATTATGCATTTATTCACCCAAAAGACGGTAAGAAGTATTTTTTATTTGGTTTATTGTATTAATATTTCATATCAAATGAAAATGTTCATGTTTTGTCAATTCCTATCGAAAATTCCTATATTGTTTCTTCTTTGCACTCAGAATAAAATACATAGAAAAATTCGACGTGGAACGCCACTGTCTTCTATTACCACTTCGGCTAAGATCGGGATTTCTAGCAGTTTGGCAACCAACTTCACTCCGCTGAGCAGTTTAAGGTTTGAAACATTCAAATTTGGAGGTTGATTCTGGAATTGTGTTTTCGTAGTTTTCATCTTTCAGTACTGCTTTTAATAGTTTTGTAACCATGGCGTACTGTATGGGAGTTTTACATCGCCAGGTAAGTTAGAAAATTTACCAAAGTTGCACACCTTAAAATTACAATTCAATTTTTTCAAAATATAATATTGGTTGAAAAGTAGAAGAATCTCAATTATATAACCAATAGTTGGAGTGAGTTTTAATTCAAGCACGTTTCTATGAAGAATTTATTGTTCATATTTGATGGAATTGATATAATAATTATTTCTTTTAGGGTGGCAAAGCAAGCAGTCTTCTCTTCTCTGAGATACAGTCGAGATGCTTTCATATTTCACCTTTAACTGCAGCTGCAGCCAAAGTTGCTATGAGCAAATTTGACAAAGACCCATTGCCATATGAGAAACTTATGAAAAATCTTGAAGTTGTGAAGAAAAGATTAGGAAGGCCTCTAACTTTATCTGAAAAAATTTTATATTCTCATATTGATCAACCCGCAACGCAGGTACAAATAAAATTTAATTGTTTCAAAAAAATATGTTGAATAACTTTTGAAAATTTTATTCAAAGGTTATTTAAGCCTTTGAATGAACTTTTTTAAATTTTATCAATTTGAATATTTTTTGTGCAGATTGAGGAATTCAAAATACTTTGCTAATAGAGCGCAAAATACGCTAAATCCGCTCATTTTGAGTATTAGGTTGTTTCAAAATTCACTTCAATATTCGCTACATTTCGTCAATAGGGCAATGCTATGATTTGTTCCGGTTGCAGAAAGCTATAGTGAGTCACACCAGTCGCTGACCACCATACAGTAACCATGGTCCATTTTGGTGAGTTTTCGCTTTTGGGAAGTGCCTGGGTCGCTCATAGGTGTCCGACCACGGTGCTGCTGAAGGTCTCCTGTTATCGCGGAGGATCCAATGTTCATCAAACGTGAATATCCGATCCTTTTTTGGATCCTTGGAACTATCCGATCCTTTTTTGGATCGGATAGTTCCAACCATAAACCATCAAAAACCGCATGGAAGATGACGCTCAGTTCTTTTGCCATCCCACGCACCGTTTGTGATGTCAGTCTCCACTAGGATTCTCAAATACTTGTCCTGGATTACCGTGGGTCAACCACTTCGGGGCTCATCTTCGAGGCTAAAATCTCCGGAACGAAATTTCGCAAACCAACGTCGAACAGTGCGTTCATCAACACTATCATTGCTGAATGCCTGGTTTATTTTTCGGACTGTTTTGACAGCGCTATGGTTCAATTTGAATTCGTAGAGAAAAATTGTCCGAAAATCGCTTGACGTTATCATATGATGAACGGCATCAAATGAACAGCACGATACAAAGGTTCATGATGTGGTGTGTACTCGAGTCTTGGCCTACACCTGCCGTTATATGGGAGATGTCTCCCAGTGACCTGTCCACCTTTCTGGAAAGGACAGGATGGACGATGACCTAGGAGGACAACTCCTCGGGAAGATGTACAATGGGTCATATGTGGCCTAAGTGCTGTGGGCCTACACTTACCCTCCCTACTCTACAGATGCAGATACCACGATGTAGTAAAATAAATATTTATTGAAATTTAGAGATACAAAAACACACAACAAATTTGAAACGACCCAATATTTTTGCGAATTTGTTCCATTTTCTGGTTTTTATGGATATTCTGCTGACTTGAAATTATTTGCATAATAATTATATATTATATCAATGTGTCCAAGATGAGGAGGTCTAACATGGGAAAATCGGAAACTGGAAGAGATACAAAGTCGGGTAAATTAGGAAAGAGGTTAACTTATACCGGATGAATTTTTCTCGTGCCTATATGAAAAATTAAAATTGATGATGGTCTCTCGGAGACGAAACGTCGGATTAAAACTCTATGAAAGTCATCTAGTACAGCTTGAAATATTGTCAGAAAAGTAAAAACCTGAATTGACGAATTTCTCTTCTTTTCGAATATCTCCGAAACCAATCGGAATTTCTTAAATCATAAAACGGCATTCCAATAAGCTAATTGAACTTACTTTGTAGGTATATTTCAAGGTTTCGATTTTCGAATGCTGGACACAGAGTATGTATGAATAAATAAAAAAAAATTTCGAAAGGCATGTCCCTATAAACACTACGAACTATGTGTTGATATACGTTTCTATTTATCCATAAGTAACTTATCAATAATAATTGTTACTATAGGATATCGAGAGAGGATCATCTTACTTGAGATTACGTCCTGATCGAGTGGGTATGCCAGACGGCACGGCTCTAATGGCAATGCTACAATTCATTTCTAGTGGTCTGAAACGGGTAGCCGTACCAAGCACCATATATTGTGACCACCTAGTTGTAGCTCTGGAAGGGGCCGTGAAGGATCTTGCTAGAGCTAAAGAAGTTAACAAAGAAGTATATAACTTTTTGGAATCTGCTGGTAACAAATATGGCGTTGGATTTTGGAAACCGGGGTCAGGTATGCATTACTGTGTACTGATACGTTTTCAAGTAATTTTCCATAAGGATCCTGAGAAGTAATTTGAGGTTTTTGACTGACAAAACCTACTTACGTTTTTTGTGAACTATTAGTGTACGTGTTTTGATCTTTTTTTTATATTGAACAACAATAAACTTTTTATTCAGGTATTCTGCATCAAATTATATTGGAAAACTATGCATTCCCTGGTCTTTTGATGATCGGAACTGATTCCCACACACCAAATGGGGGAGGTCTTGGTGGGCTCTGTATTGGTGTTGGGGGTGCTGACGCTGTAGATGTAATGGCTAATATTCCCTGGGAATTGAAATGTCCCAAGGTCATTGGTGTTCGACTAACAGGTAGGTGTGTAACTAATTAAATGATAGGAAGTATTTGTACAAGTATATAAGTGTTCAAACTTGGTTTTGAAGCAAATGAAGTATTTTGAAAAACCACCGTAGTAATAGTTAATTTTTGATGAGTAGCGGATATAGAAGGCATTTTTGAGCTTCTCTATGTTTCCATGTTTCTCCACGGATTCTGTATTTCTTATGATTCTCGAATGATTTCAACTTGATCTGAAAAGTGAAACCAAAACCATTGGCGTATAATGAATCCAACATGAATAATTCTTCCACACACCACAACTATAACACTATTCTATTTCCTCGTTTCTCCAATCAACTTGGGTGAACGTTACTGATGGTAGATATGGTGCTATACAAATATATCAAATTAAAGTCTCTGCATGGGTATCTCGTAAACGGTAAGAGACAGTGAGTAGGCTAAATTGTAACAAGATCGCCGGTTTTTGAGCACTATTGAATGATACCGAAAAATCTTCGCTAGCTTAGTTATACGGGACAAACCGAAAATTTCTAAATCCTATTTTTGCTGTATATTCATTATTTGAAGGGATATTGAAAAATCTGTTCACAATTTGACAATATAACTTTCATTCTACTATCCGAATATGATCATATAATTTTTGAACTTGGTATCGTCAGACTTGGTGGTCTTGATCGATATTTTTCATACACTATCGTGAGACAAATTTTTTTTTCGTTACTCCCGAGAGTTCTGGTAGTTTGATGTTCATCAATAGAACTATTATTTTTTGTTACGGCCCTAATAATTACTCTCTTTTTTTATTCTCAGAATCTCAACCAAGCAACTGAATTTTCCAGCGAAGTTTTTACACTTAAACTTTAATGTTCAACCTTTGTTTTGGCTTCCGCAATATTGTTTGAGTAGTTGCGTATTCCACAAACCAATAATAAAAATTCCCTGATTGATTCGGCCGTTACTTGATGAAGATCCATAGTAATTTCAAAAACTACACCTCAACGATTTGATATCCACAAACTTTGTGGAGATCAAATCGTTGAGGTGTAGTTTTTGAAAAATAAAAATTCCGACAAGTGTGAAGAATAAAGGTTACTAGAGAAATGAACTAAGGTATTGGCTGGTGGATTTACTGCATACCTTTAAAAGTTTCTCAGAAACTTGGTATAAGCTTCAAGATAGGAGATATAAAAATCATTTTACAGGGCGAAAACATCATCAACTCATTTTAAATTAGAGCCCAGAAACAACTTTCGTAATCCAACAAATGCTCTTCACTACCGTGGGAACTCTTTTTTGTATTCGACAAGCAAGTTTTCGGTTTCCGGTGATCCTACTTCAACGACAGTTATGTTCAACAGTGGAATACATCAAAATGAAAGGTGGTAGCAAAAGCAGACACCTAATTTTATTTCTTCGAAATTGAGAAATTTTTTAACTATTGGTTTCTCAAAAAAGCAACTTTTGTCTGTAACTTCATAAGAGCTTTGGATTAGGAGAGATAAATTCGTACACGGCAAGAATTGAAATTGCTGCTGGTGATAAAAGTTCGAGTTTTTCTTGAACTGTCGAAGTGTTACAACATAGGAGAATCTTACTAGAATTATTAGAGATCTTTGATTTTCAGGTACGTGGTGAGATGTTTGAGAATAATTATCAGACAGTCATGAAAAAATAATAATTCATTTGTCGATTAAGTTACCGAAACTCTCGAAAATATCAAAAGGAATCAAATTCTTCGATATTATCCAACGAAGAATTGCTTCAAAAAATGTAGGTCAGTGTTTATCTCCGGAACCGAAAAAACCAGTGACGATTTTTTGATATCATTCAATATTATCTACCCGAAAATAAGCAAATTTGCCACAATATAACCTACTCTCTATCTTTTATCGTTCACGAGATCCCCATGCATAGATTCGAATTTAAATATCCCTGTATTTAGTTTTTGTATGTGGGAGAAAGTATTTGTGTTGAATTGTTAATTGTTTGCTTAGGAATGAGTTTCATTTTCATTCTTCATGTTGAAATAATTATTTTCGAAAATATTTTAGAAACTTTTAGAGTTCAAAGAACCGAGAGAGAACGATTTTTCAAGGTTGTATAGAGGAGGTATTCTGCTATCTGTTCAAATTTGTATAGTAAGCCCATTATTTGAACTCGACTTAGAATGCAGAGATAACTAATTTAGACACTATGTATTTTGCTTGTCAAGGTTCATGTAAATAATTGTTTTTGATTGGATTATAATTTTTGTCTCATTTTCTGAACGAAATATTTTAATGGAAAGAAAAACTGATTGATTTGGGCTCTGTTCAAATGTATCCCTTAAGGACAATTTAGATTTTTTCTATTGTGATACATGAATACAGTACGAATCCTATGGCATTATAAATGCTGTGTTTTCAAATCTCTGATTGCATCTTGTAGTAAAAGCTGCAGATGAAGATAGAAGGCGACTTCTCGCTTGGTGCTCGATGTTGAAGCTTGGTTTTGCAGCTAACGCCTCAAGGACCTTTGGTAATCTTGGATAAATAAGGATTGAGTCAGTCCTGTAGATAATATCATTATTAGGGAAAGTGTACAGCTTACCAATTTCATTATTAAAATATATGAACGCAGTACTGCGATATTCGAGAAGTGTTTTAATTGATTTTTTGAAACTGTCAGGTATACTTGAAATGAAGATTCATAACGACTTTAAACTCGATCAAGCAATACGAGGTTGCAAAATCAGTTAAGGAGTATCAAGATGAATTTGTATCTCACCAGTGATATATATATATATATAACTTTCTAGTATACGTCGCTTTAGATGCAAACTTATATAGTCATGTTCAATCAAAGACATAATATATTTTTGAAAACGGAATGGAAATTTACATTTTTTCGCAAACAATAGTCTGCAATTCATATTACCAATTCATAATTTCATAGTATTACCATTAAAATTCCGTTAACAATCCATATTTACGGTACTAGAAGTAACAAAAATTTAACGAAGGCATCTATTAATGACGTTGTTGAAATGCATATCTGGGAATCTTGAAACCATGTTAACCATCCTAGTTTCCAAGACACAACTCATTTAAATGAGTTTAGGTATATCATATAATCACCAATTTCAATATTGGAAAACATATTTAATAGAGGTGATTCATTCAAATCATTTTGGTCATGTAATAAATTTTCAATCATTCTAAAAGCTTGAGTTTCAAACCATAATAAATCGATACTGTTCATTGAGAGGACATCTGAACAAAATAGAGATGTACAACGAAGTAGTATTAAAGAAACAGGACATTCGTGAATGTTTCTCTTGCGAAAGATGGTTTGTGAATGTGGAGGTGGTCTTCACATTCAAAAAACTGATCCTATTCTCTTTTATTATTTCAGATTAGGTTATGACCGTTTGACCAATACAACACAAAGTTTTAGGCAAGAACCATAAATATGTTAACTCATCTACTTATGATCTTCTCGATACCGATGTTTAATCTTTATTGTTTTCGATACATTTGTGTAAAATGTTATTTTTCCTGTAATCAACGCCCAAGTCTTTCTTTTTAAACAAACGAGCGTTATTATTGGTGGATTCACCAAAGTAAATCAATGCCCCATGACGCTAACAATCGTTTCTAAAAGTTGTACAGACCTGATGCATGGCTTGTTTTAGCGATTTTTTGGAAAGAATGTAGTCGATAATATTTACCTTGTAACAGTTTTGCGAATTTTTAAATCTATTGATTTCCAAACATGCCAAAGATTATTCAGTTTCAAACTTATTTTCAAATCCAACATGTCATATAGTCGTGATTGAACTCATACTCTTCTGTTATAGAATGGTTTGCAAATCTGGAATTGGTCTTAACATTTAAAAAACTACTTATATGCTATCAATATCAAGTTTTGGGCAAGAACTGCAAGTCAATTTATATACTCTTCATCTATCTCTTTATTGTTTCTGATTGAGTTGCTTGAATCATTATTTGTTCTGTTAACCACGTCCAAATTTTTCTTTTTCAAAAAACGAACNATTGATTGTATTGTTCCAAATGTGGGTAACACTTGTAAGAAGTTCGCCTGTTGATATTAGCTTCCGGAAACCATATTGATGATCGCTTAAGATGTTAAAGTATTCCAAAAATTTAAGAATGTGTTGACTAACAGCTTTCCCCATAATTTTCGATATAAGTAATAGTAATGCAATAGTTCTTAGGCTTTTTACAGTATAGTTTGAAGTCTAGTGGTTTACCAAGAAGCACACAAAACTTCTTACCTACTTTCAAGAACAGTGACAGGTTTATCAGTAACAGAAGCTTTGTTATTGTTGCTAATAAGACGCTGTTGAAAAGTAAAATCTGAAATCATGAATTGTACAGAATGAAAAGTTGGTGTTGTTTTCCACTGAAAGTCAACCATAGAATGTAAATTGTTCAGCAAGTGAATTTTCTTTTTATTTCGCTGTTGAAGCTAATGGAACCATATGCTTGTGTTAGTGGTGGAGTTGTAGATTTGATGAAGTGTTGACCAATGGCTACAGCCACTGACTAGAAAGATCTATAGCTGTTGGAAATGGAAATGAGTTTGTTTATAATTATCTGATTGTGTAGTTATTTACTTTCGTTCATTGGTGATTACATTTCAATTATTCAAATAAGTTTTTAATCTTTTCAGTGCCACAAATGCTGAAAATAACGAACTAAACAATGTGAAGAACCAACTCACGGGTGAATGGGGAGCAGTACCTGACGTAGCTCGTTACTACAAAGCTAAAGGAGTTCAGTGGGTTGCAATTGGTGATGAAAACTACGGCGAAGGCAGTTCTCGCGAACATGCCGCCCTTGAACCCAGACATTTAGGAGCTCGTGCGATCATCGTGAAATCTTTTGCCCGCATCCATGAAACTAACCTGAAAAAACAAGGACTTTTACCTCTCACTTTCGCCAACACTAGCGACTACGATAAAATCCAACCCTCAGACAAGATTTCATTAAAGAAACTGAATACTCTTGCCCCGGGAAAACCAGTTGAATGCGAAATCAAACATGCCGACGGTAAAGTTGAAAAAATTCTTCTCAATCACTCATTGAGCGATCTTCAAATAGATTGGTTCAAAGCCGGAAGTGCACTTAATCGCATGAAAGAATTATTTCACTGATGTAGACAGATTATTTAAATGATTTCTAGGTATTTAAATTCAATCAATTCGTATTTTGTTTAGAGTATTCTTTTATAAATTTTGTTCATACATATTCAGTCCTAACGAATTTCCAGACGATACAGTTGTTGTTGTTATTCTG